CGCCAGCCCAATATCAGTGCGCGATCTATTTCGTTGAAAGTGGTTCTCGGCAAAGCAAGGCGACATGGGACGACAGCTGTGGCCGGGAGGAAATCGAAGGACGGCCGCCGTTAGCACCTTTAGCGCCAATGGCTGTCAGACGCCCATCAAACCATCAAGCCATGACTGGATTCCATTCGACAACCTGCTTTTCTCGAGGTTGCATGTTCCTGGCGGTTCCACATCAAAAGACAGGGATGAGCTGCTCGCTCAGAATCGCTGGGGTGGATAACTACTGGAAGTGGTTAGACGTGGATGTGTGTGTGGGCCAAGTTGCAGCATCGCAAATTGTCATTGACCAGCAGATAAATGAGCTCCTCCTCCAACAGCTCACCCATCATTAAAATATCATCTACCGGACGTTGGACAGCAAGCCCCACGTTGGCTTGTGGCTGATCCTGCGCAGTGCAGTTCTGTGCACGGGGTACTCCGTACTCCGTAGGCCGTCCTGAGTTCGAGTTCGCAGTATCCGATTACTTCATTGATTTACCCGTTGGCAACTAAGTGGAAGTCCACTTAGTTGCCAACGGGTAGAAGGGAAAGGGATACCAACTGCACCCAAGCTGGCGGGTTTCTCTCCACAGAAATTCTAGGCACCAAGTTTTGTGGCCCGCACCTTACGCCCTGCGGTAGAATATCAGGACGCAGGCCCAATGTCATCCAACGCTGCCTCAAGAAGCTTACTCCAGGACCTGGCGAGCTCCTCGACAGCTCTTTTCCGCTTCGTGATCTTGCAAGGTCGTTGCTGCCCGCAGTCAAACGACGGGAGATTTTGGAGGGCAGGGCTGACAGCGCTGCGGCTTGTGTAGTGATCAACGCGGATTTTCACAGCCCCTATCGTATTTCTCAGACCCGGCGTGGGCGAAGTGCTTGGTCGAATTTCCCCCCGTGAGCATGGTTGGGCTTTAGCGATTTTCCCATTTGTTCACAAATTAGCCTGTTCATGGCGTACGAATGAAGTATCTCATTGAGCCATGAGAGAGCTTTGGGAAAGGAAGGGAGGATGTTAGCATGTAATACATACTGACAGTGCACCCACAGAAAGCCTTTACCAACTTGTGAGCAGACGGGAGCAATTGTATCAACGGTCACATGCTAGGGCTTTAACCGACCAGACCGGGACAAGGATGTTTGACCGCTGAAGCTCCTTCCACATCTTGTTTAGCCAGGGGTTGTCGAATGCTTCTGGAAGGGAAAATGTGGCCGACAAATAAGGTGCTATGTCGATCACGTCAACGGATCATTGATGCTGGTAGCAAGAGATCCATGGTGCCCGTGTGCTTTCCAGCCTAACTGAGCATGCCAGCACGATGTCGATGTTATGCACATGTCGAGTCGATGCTCCGGCATCTTAGGCCTCTGGCTGTATGTCTTCACTCACCGATGTTAATCTGTAACAGCATTTGGCTGGACATTAACGGAGTAGCATCGTATTGGGTAATAAGAGAGACAGCATGCGGAAATTTGCCATGGTGGAGCCAAGGCAATACCGGGTAGGATGAGTTAGCAGTAGAGGCACAGTTAGTATACCAACCAGACATAACACATTGTATGCCAGTCATCTGCAATCGACTTGGACACCCTAGATATCGCCGCCACCAAGACCAGCTAGGAATCAGGAAACAGCATTAGAGACCTATTGACCAAAATGACGGAGGATGTATGGCGAGAAAATCGTATCTGCCCTAGATCTTGCTCGATTGTGTAGCGTTTGAGGACACTTTTTTGGCGTCACATATTGGCTGTTGAGCGCTGTCTGGAGCTTCCGTTTGAAGATCCATCTCCAGTACCACCATCCAGGTCCACTACGAATATGCAGGGAGAATCCCCAGCTTCAAGTCAAGTTGGCCGGCAGTCGGCGAACAGTGGTTCTGTCCAAATTGACAAGGAATCAATAGGAGACTCTACATGTCGTTTTGTCCTTTTTTTCTTCTAACAGAGCAGGCGTGCCGACAGTTGTCTGTATCCTCTGTAAGGATATTGTTCCTGGCGGCAAGATCCGTTGTACCTTGTTCATCGTCAGCTTTCACCTATTGTATCCTTTCGGCGGATTCACTTGCAGCCACTTGCTCTTGCTCCCCTGGCCAAAGGGCCAACTCTGGATCCTCCTCGCGGCTCAACCAAGCTCGATCATCCTCCCGACGTGGGGGCTCCAGGCAGACTAATCTGACCTAATCTGTTGACATCCTGGCATCGGTGGTGCCAGCACCAAGTCTGAACGACGAAGTGGCAACCAGAATGGCTGGCAGTCCCGTCAAAGAGTCTGTTAGTTGCCGCTTGACCCCTTGTCCAGATGTAGTTGGCACATACATATACATTGATAGAGGGCAAAAGGGGCATCTTGGATTGTTTGGAATTGTTGCCAACAATCAGGATAGGCATGTCCATTTTGAAGCCTGTGCAGGGCATGTTTCTCACATTCTGGCTAGAGCACGATCTGAAAGGGAAGTGGGTGATGCTGGTGGACGGACAGAAAATTCGGCAAATTGCCATTGAAAATAATTGCATGTGCTAGAACCTTGGAGTTGCTAAGAAGAGTCAATCTGGTAGGTGCTTCACAATGCACAACGGCAACGGGGGCAGGTGCTCAGCCGCGCCTTCCCAGGCAACAAGACTTCCATCCTGTGAGCTTGGCTGCCAACCTCAAGACTTAGATATGCAGGCGACTTAGCTTCACCGCGTGTCCTCGATACTGGAAAAACTGTCGAACCAATTTGACGTCTACTACTCTTCTACGCAGTAGGTACTTGGGAAGTCGCACTAGGTATGGGGCAGGTCTTCGAGACATTGACAAGCAGCCCCAGGCTGAGCGAGTTAGCCGATGTGCGTTGCATCTTGGCTTGCCTACGCCCAGCTTTGCGGTATGTAATCAATGCGGTCGAGCCAATGCACCCATTCACAATCGAGGATGTGCTGACCGTAAGCTCGAAACGGCCTTGGCCTCTCGTTCCAGTGCGCAATATTATGATGTGTGGTTGGGGCTGACGACCCGTATGTGTCTCTGATGGGCGCCTAGCATCTACAAATAGTCTGCGGAGGCTTCACGGAGCGTTTAAACCTCCCCAGATCCCCGAAACATCCTACTATTCGTGGGCATCGATCTGTTCAAGTACCTCGATAGCAACGGACTAGTATACAATACATTGACAGTTTGTCATACTCATGTCCGCCCGAACAGAGCCCTCCGTTCAGCCACGATGGACTGCAGGCTTTGGCAGCCATCCTCACAGGCCGTAAGCCAGTCAATTTGTCGACCAGCCTGCATGCAGGGCGGCCACGTACTCAAATTGGACAGCCAAGGAATCTTTTATCAGGAATCGATCGGAGATGGTCTTGGGTGAGCACATGCATGCAATAGAGCTGTCTGTGTGTGATGTGATGCCCATGTTTGATTCCTGGTAGAGCTGCTCCGTCACATCAGTTTCGTCACCGAGAATCTACTGGGACATTGCAGCAGCCACCTTTTTGGGAACAATTAACGTTTCCAGAGCATATCGGGACATTTGGGCCACTTGTCCGCTGTTTGTCATGGGCCCTCATCCTCATTAAGGTCCCAAGTGGTGTTCAAGCCACATTTCCATTTGCATTTCTGTTGCAGTCAACCACTGGACCGTGCCGTTTCGACTCGGGCTTTGAACTGTCAGAACTAAGAATATCGAGCTCAAGGTCACTTCCCCCCATACGGAGTACTACCGTATACGTCTTGGGGGTCTGGTCTTGGCCACGGGCTTGTTAGCCACACTGCACCAAACGGCACGTAACCAGCAGATCGCACCATACCCCGGCCGCATTTTCGTTTGGCTTGGGCTTGGTTGGCTGCTTGAGCTGGACGTCCTGGTCCTGCAAGTTCGTTCGCAAGTAGAAAGGCTGGTCAATTGATTTGCCCGCGTCGTGGTGAGATGGCCCAAGTTGCCCCAAGTGTCTCATAGGAAAGCCTCATCTACTACCTACTTGAGTAAGTAGTAGATATGACGCACGGAGTACGGAGTACACAGTACTGTACTCGCCGTGGAGCGAGAGCGCATGACCTCGGATATTGCACATTTGCCTCACCTTTCACCACGCTAGCTGCACAGTCCTGTAGACGTCAGGAGCGGTCGCAATACCTCGGGTGCGGGCACGTTTGCATGTTTGCGTTGACTTGCTGGTGCCTCCGGTGCTCGAGGTATTCCTGCTCGTTCATACCATACATTTGCGCTCCGCCATCTCCGAAACACTAGGCTCGAGCAAGCCGTAGACACACGACATTTTGTGAGCCAGGGACCACGGTCCAAGGAGTTGAGTCTTGACGTTTACTCCGTCCCTCGGCATCGAGCTCAAGTACAAGTCCGCTCCGCCTGCTCCGTATCTGTACACAGCGACCGTTTTTAACGGCCGTCGAGCTGTGCAGCCAGACCAGACACCTCTCGCCTCTGTCGCCTTTCTGACCTCCCGTCTCGACTTTGCCGCAACGTACCTCGCCCGTGTCTTCTTGCGGCTCGCGCAGTGCGTGGGCAACACTCGGCCCAGTCCGCCCTCTCCCGCTGTTTCTTCACATCTCCCTGCCTGCTTCTTCTGCTTGCCTAGGTGCTTGCTGGGTGTTGATACCACCAGACCGTTGACGAGTAGTACTACTGCGACTACTGCTGCCGCCTCAACTGGAGCCCCCCCCCCCATCCTTCCTTCCCCCGTCCAACCCCGTCCACCTTCTCTGACGGCCCCGTCCCAGTCCAGCCCAGCCCCAGCCCAGTCCCAATCCAGTCAGTCCTGTTCCCACCCCCCCTGGACACCGAGTGCTCAAGCAGCCAGTCACTCACGTCTTTGCTCAGTCAACCTCTCCTCTCCTTTGCTCTCCGCCTCTCCACACCCATCTCGACAATCTCATCGCTGGACGACGCTCCTTTTGACCATCCTCCTCCCGACTCCCCGGCCACGTCCATCCTCCCCCGCCTGTCTCGCCTCCCTCATCAGCGTCAGTCACAATGAACTCCCAGGGCGCCCATGATGTGTCCCCTGAGGCCATGCAGGCGCGGATCCAGCAGGCGCGTCGCGAGGCAGAGACACTGAAGGATCGCATTAAGAGGAAGAAGGATGAGCTGTCCGATACCAGCCGTACGTGCTCAATTGACCAAGATGGTCGCCATCACAGCCATCGTGGCCCGTGGCAACCTTGCTACTCCTTTCATCCCCTTGGCCAAGAACTTTGGCTAACCTGACATATTTTGTTGGATATCTAGTTCGAGTCGTCGCCCAGCAGGCTCACGAGCCTATCCCTAGAAACCAGCTGATGAAAGCGAAGCGAACACTCAAAGGCCACTTGGCCAAGATCTATGCCATGCACTGGTCCACCGACCGTAGACATCTCGTCTCGGCCTCACAAGATGGAAAGCTCATTATATGGGATGCCTATACCACCAACAAAGTTCATGCCATTCCTCTCCGTTCATCATGGGTCATGACCTGCGCCTATGCCCCCAGCGGAAACTTTGTAGCCTGCGGCGGCCTCGACAACATTTGCTCCATCTACAACCTCAATCAGCAGCGCGACGGCCCCACACGTGTCGCTCGAGAGCTGTCCGGCCATGCTGGCTATCTGTCTTGCTGCCGATTCATCAACGACCGCAGCATCCTGACTTCCTCTGGCGACATGACCTGTATGAAATGGGACATCGAAACTGGTCAAAAGGTTACCGAGTTCGCCGATCATCTTGGGGACGTCATGAGCATTTCGCTCAACCCTACGAACCAGAACACCTTCATCTCTGGTGCCTGCGACGCCTTCGCCAAGTTGTGGGATATTCGAGCCGGCAAGGCCGTCCAGACATTTGCTGGCCACGAGTCTGACATTAACGCTATCCAATTCTTCCCCGACGGACACTCTTTTGTTACCGGCTCCGATGACGCTACGTGCCGCCTGTTCGACATCCGGGCAGACCGCGAGTTAAATGTTTACGGCGTAAGTTTAAGCTGCCGCTGCCGCATTGGCCTTTAGATTTATGTGAGCTAATATCCGGTGTGCAGTCCGAGTCTATCCTTTGCGGCATCACTTCAGTCGCAACGTCAGTGTCTGGTCGTCTGTTATTTGCTGGTTATGACGATTTTGAATGCAAGGTAATATATTCTGAATGAATTATCGGCGGCACTTCAAATGTCATGGATGCTAACCACTGGGCTTGTTAAGGTATGGGATGTTACCCGAGGGGAGAAGGTTGGGTCACTTGTGGGCCATGAAAACCGCGTGAGCTGTTTGGGTGTAAGCAATGATGGCATTAGCTTGTGCACAGGTTCATGGGATTCTTTGGTAAGTTCTGAACGGCCAGCTAGTGCTCCGCTCTGGCTGTCTCTGGTCTGCAATTTAACAGAGTGTATTTCTCCGTTCTTCCCTCGTGGGCATCAACGCTAACCGCCCGCAGTTGAAAATCTGGGCATACTAGATGAATATCGTCCGCCAAACGATGACTGTCCTGCTTGGACGAGCCAACTACCCCAGTACTGCGATGACGACTTAAACATCTGCATTTTGAAGGACCATGTTGCCTATCAACATTTCGGAAAAACCAATTACGCTCATCTAGCATGCGTGTACTGGCGTACGCGGGACGAAGTGACGAAACGTACCTTCCCTCATATTTTACTCTACCTTGACTGTTTTGTCTGTCACAGAAAAGGAGTAGCATCTTCCCAAGACGACATAGGGGTGGATGATTCTCAGCGACAGATTCCAGACTGACGGTCAGCTGCCAGCGGTAATAGTTTGTGGAGGGAGAAAGCTGACTGACGCGATACCTTATTTCCTTGTCTTGAGTGTCCATTTGTTGTTACTTAATTCTTTCTCTTCTTACTTTTTTTTTCTTTACTCTGCGATCTGAAGGATTCCCTGCCCCATCAGTTTCCGCCCTTCCCGATCAACCCTCGGGTTTGTCGGCGATTAGGGGGTTGTATTACATGACGGTTTTCCATATCCACAATAGCCTCTCCGTTTGTTGCGTTTTCTGCTCTCTTCACCCGGCAATTTTGCTACATACTAGGTCATCTCGGATGTTGAGGACGAGGTTTGGGGATACGAAGCGACGGGAGCAAACGACGCAAGTCAGAGGCATACCAAAAATATGAAAAGGATTCAAAAAGAGCTTGGGGAAGTTGTTGTGAGGAGCGGAGTCTTATCAAGCGCGGGTCTGAGGAGGAGGCTAGAGAGGCTATACCAGGAACTATCAGACCTCGAGATAATACACTACGATGATCCAATTTCTGGAAGCAAACATGAGTCTCTCCGTGCACGTAGTAGTTCTAGGATAAGCTGGGATTAGTCATTGCATAGGATCAGCTTGGTGAGAGAGACTGGGATGCTTTGGATGCAAACAATCCAGGCCATGCTACTTGCTTAGGTAAGCACGTACCCTAGGCATGTGTTGGGAAGAGACAAAACGTGGATGAGAACTAGGCCACTGTTGGTGCTTGGAAGTTTAATATGGCCAATACATGATGGCATTCTAATGAGATGAGGTGGAACTTGAAAACATGGCTGCTATTGTCCACTCCCAGGGCAGTCGAAGTCCTGGTGTCGCACCGAGAAATCCAGGCGTCATGATGACTTGGCAGGATGTGCGGCTTGGGGTCTCAGAGGGCAAAAGACCCAAGCGGATTTGATGAGGATTCCCATTGCACAAGTTCGTCGGGAGGGAGACTACTGGGGCGAGGGCATGGTTCCAAAGTTGTCCGCAGGAAATCATTTCCCCGGAATATATGTAGAAATACCAACTTGTTCAAGTGGCACAGTCCAGAGAGCTTGTTGGAGGACTTGACAATGAAATGGACGACAAGGGCTCGGGGAGAAACCGCTCTCGGTGCTTGGATGTCCAGCCGGCTCAAGTTTCAGCAAAGACGTGTCATTTTTGGAGTTGTGATGGATGTTGTTGACGCAGCACAAGGGGGCCATATATGACGGGTATATCAGCAAGATGCGCCAGAACCACTAGTTGGGCATAAATAAAGTACAGCGGTTAGCTGGCTCTATTCACCACGCGCGAGGCTGCGCCGGGCCGATCCATGGTAATAACAACCTCAAAGGAGAAAAGGGCTTTGGGGGCTTCTAGCTGACGACAGGGGCGGTGGCCGAGGGCCTTTTCAGCAGGCGGTCTTTTTTAAGAGTTGAAGGCCGATACACAATGTAGCACAAGGAAAGTAGAATGCTTGCTCGGACGAATGGAGGGCCAGGTTCTGTAACGCTGTTGTGCTGGTACACCAAGCGTCGACTCTGCTCGACTTTGTACAACTTACAACTTGTTCGAAACTAGGTTTGGATCTCGCCCCCTGTTTTTGACATGTAGGCGTGGTCGTGAGCGCACAAAGCAAAGCATCGGTAAGCAGCTGCGTTGCATGAAGCTGACGGCATGACGGCTTGATAAGTCAATGATTCAATATGCCAGGGGAGGGAAGATGGTGAAATTGGTCCATCGTGAAACACCCTGGTGAAGCCGCCCGAGTAGTACATACACACGGCTTGAAGTTGCAAAGGGAACGAGATTACAAGACTTTTGGCTTTATGTGAATCCATTTATTCCCCACTGTACCTGTCATGGCATCGTAGTGTTCGCGAATCGTCGTTTCGGGCCACGAGTCAACAGCTCCTCTCGTCGAGAATGGGACTTGTGTGGCAAGGACCGCATTGCGACACGAGCGGTTTGCGGCCTGGGAAATGAAGTCCTGCTGCCTTAAGAGGTCTGTTTATGCGACCAAAGCGTGGTTGGTAGTGTGGACGATATTACAATGTACAACACGTCTTGCATGGGGGACTAGGGCGCGTGTTAATTCTTCGTCTCTGCGACATATAAGCCAGGGAGGTTCCATGTACTTGGAACGACTTGGCATGACGGCGGCGGAGGAAATGCCTTGCGATATGTTGCATGGAGTAGTATTACAGGGTCGGAAGCTGGCCTCGTGAGTATGTATACTCTGTAGTGTGTACTTTTGTGGTGGTCGAGGGAATGTGATGGCGCCCGGTTTAATAACCCTTGCCCTTCGTTGTCAGTTTAAAAATAGACCTGGACACGAGGCTCTGTTGAAGGGAGCAAAGGGGCAGGATATTTGAATAGGACAGCGTGTAACTCGGTATTACAACATGGCCTTGCTATCCCGCGACGACGGCTTGTAACTACGCCGGCACATCTGGCGCGTACGATAATGGGAAGGACGATATGATGATTTGTGTTCAGGAGTCGGGAGAGAAGGGCAATTCGAGGTAGCATTCGACTGATTTCTACGCCCTTGGCTCTCGCGCAGTTCAGAGACGGCACGATACCGGGCACACATACACAAACAACGTGGCATCGTCAATACGACCAAGGGACACACGTAAGCCACTTGTCAAGGTGTTTTCTTTTTTGACTGCTGTGGGCTGCCATGACACAGACAGCCATGGCTTAATGCTCAATAGGGCCCAACACCGCCATCATGACTCTTTGCGATGATGTCATGACACATCAACGGCGGACAAGAGACAACAGACGGCGGGCATCATCCTCTGCCAGGGAGATTGTCAAGCGGATGTCTCCGTAGCCTGCGTATGGACAAAGCAGCATACATTGTACACCTGATCCGGCTCTGCGTGACACATCACGAAACGAAACAAGCGCTGGGGCCTTTTGGCCGTTGGAGCGTCAAGTTCGTAAAGCAGCAGCACTAGTGCAATATGTACAATATGTACGGAACAGGCAACACCATGTGCGAGTCCTGCCCAGCAGCTGCGTGCGCAGGCGGCCAGCCCTGTGCAAGCCTGTGCAAACTTGTGCAGCCCTGCGCGGCCCCTGACGCGCACCAATGCCTGGTCCCAGACGGTGCCGTCATGACCCCTGCAACCCAGCCAGCTAGCCCCTGTCATTCCCATCACTGCTGTCTGGTCATTCCGGCGCGCCCGTTATCGCCTTTTTGTTCTTTCGTGCCTTCCATTTGCCTCTGCTCCGTGTCCAGAAGCCCGGAAGGCCCACCCCTCCCCACCGACGCGACTTCCCTTTTGGCCTTTTTGCTCTCCGTGCCTTCATCCTCGACGTCGTCTTCAGTCCACGCCACCACGATACCGCCTTCGCACTCGTCGACGCTCCAGCTTTCCCACCGTCTTGAGACAACCACATCAACCCAGGGGGGTTGCGTTATCCATTGTTCCTCCATCAGCTACTACTAGTACAATCACTCGCTCGTGGCCAGCACCGACCTGGGCGCTGCTTTGTGCCCTGCCTGCCACCACAACAACATTGGCCCAATACCGAGTCTTGGATCGCACATCGGCCTGCGCACACTCCCAATGCTGGCGTCTTTTTCACACCAATACTACTTCGTACACTGCCACTCTTGCACGGGCATTGCGCATTAAACAGCAATCAATGTCACACCTGCTCCACTCCTTCGAGAACATCGTCTGATACCTGCCTTTGTTCGGCCTGAAACCACGACCCCCCCGTGTTTTCGCACCCGTCACTGTCCTATCCTACAAAAGAGGAGCCATTCCCGGCCTTCCCTTTCGGCCGGCTTGTCTGGTCCCTTTCCCTTCCCATCATGGCCACGACTGCTGCCCAAGACGAATACAACAGCCTCGTTGCCAACAACACTGCTCGTGGAACGCTTGACTTGGACCATCGTGACGACCCTGAGCTTTCCGCGCACGACGACGACGACGACGACGACCTCGACGAAGAGACTATATACCGCAACGCCAAGATTGAAGCAGCTATGCGCACGACTACCGGTGCTTCGGAGCTCAAGCTCCCCCCGGCTTCCTTTGACAGCGGTCGCTCAACCGGTGTCAAGGGTGTCATTGCCGACGCCAGAAGCTTCGAGACTGCGCGCAAGACTACCTGGATAGACAAAGCCAAGTCCGCGCGACGGAGTATTCTAGGTATCGCCGGTATTAATCAGAACGGAGGAGCCAAGAGCGAGAGTGAGACGGACGACGACACCATGAGCGCGCCCGGCTCAGATGAAGAGAGCTTCTTGCAACAATGGCGCGAGAGCCGCCGCCGAGAGCTAGAGCGCGAAGCCAACAGGGCCGTGCGAACAAGACGGACCAGTCCGAGTGTGCGAGTATATGGCCGGTTAGACGAGGTGGATGCTTCAGGCTACCTTGACGCCATTGAGAAAGTTGGCAGAGAGACCAAGGTTGTTGTCTTTGTTTACGATCATGAGGTATGCCGTTTTCGTAGTTGCCCCCTTTTCTTGCTTGGATTGGTCGTGGATTGTCATCCCACCTCTGTCTGCTGTTATCCTGTACTAACATGCTTGGCCTAGTGTGACGTTTCTGCCACCATCGAGTCGGCCCTCGCGCCGCTAGTCAAATCCCACTCGACCATTCATTTTGTCAAGATTCACTATGACGAGATTGAATTGGATAATGCTGCTGTCCCAGCGCTGTTGGCCTACCACAACCAAGGTGATTTGTTCGCCAATCTGACGGGCATTATCGAAATGATGCCCGACGAAGAGTCGTTTGGTACCAGGTCTCTCCAAAGACTCTTGGAGAGGCACCAAGTGCTGTAAGCTTGTTTTCGATGGCTCGGCAGGGGGCCATCGCGGGGCTGTATCTACCTTGCAAGACCTCGGTGTTACTTTCTTGACGATACCCATGTTCTTTTTTTTTCGACACTCACGCTCTGGTCTGGCCGTGTCTGGTTTTGCGTCACGGCGTGTTGCGCGACTTGACCGCCCTTTGTACATGCGCATGTGCCTGAGGGCATCTTGCTTTCTTGTTCCACCATGGGTCCTTTGGCCTCAATTTTCTTCTTTTGTTCTTATTTCCTTTATATAATAGTTTATGTGGCTCTACATTTATCGAGTTGGGGAGTTTAAGGAGGCGGACGTCGACACGAATGGCAATCATGATATGGCAATGACAGGAGACGATGACAAGGGCGGCCAGGCATTTATGATGGTATATTTTGATCCCTCTTGAGCCGACGGGTGTGCCGGCTGGGCGATTGTGGATAGAGATTTTGTTGGTCGCGAGACGGTCTTGTATATACGCATAGCGACGGGACTATGTGGTCTTTTCCCAAACCACCTGTGCCTTGGTGGCTTGGCTTACTAGTTGTCTTGCACGCGTATTTAGATTTTCAATCAAGTCAACTCGGAGCATGGAAGACTCGGCCAGAAAATGACTGCACATGTATGTACTTCATGGGAAGGCATCGTGATCGGCTACGTGGGACCATCAAGCTCCGGATGAAGTGGATCGATATATGTACTACTACCTATTCCCTACAAGTATGCATGCCTCTCCACCGACAGCCACGTGAGGATAGTACTCGGTAGTCTGCAACGATGCAATACTTTGGTGCCTGCTTTGGCGCTGTGATGCTGGAGCATTCGGGAACACTTGGTAGTAGTTTGCTCTGTCTGGCATCGTCGTCGACGACCGAGTACACGTCACTGCTCCTAGTGGGGGCGCTGATAGCCCAAATTGCCCACTTCAGGTGCGGGTATCCAGTATCAATGGGTGATGTGCCAGTGGCACACACGTCGACTGACGAGGTACCTGGGTCTTGACGGCAAACTGCCACGTGCGGCATGTACTTACACTGCCCCTCCTCGCCCTCGGGCCAGGGTTTTGGGTCCAAGGTCGACTGGGTCCCACCAGGGGCAGGGGGGCCCCCTGGCGCAATCGTGCATATCGGGTGCCTCATGACCCATTTCCACGGCCAGTCGATGCGATGACATCGCTGGCATTGTACATACTGCGCTGAGGCGGGCTATTTATTGCATCAGGTGTCTTCAGACTTTTTTCTTTGTGCCCAAATGTCTAAACGTTTTCTACGTGCGTGTGTGGCAAAGGGAAGGAAGAAGAGAGCAGGAGGGGCAATATTGGCGCTGCACGGCACGCGAGGGCCTGGGCTGGCCTGGCGTGACGGCTACGTCTTGTCTGTGCCTTCAATGTTGGTCCAGCTCGTCACTGTCGACGAGGCTGGCGTGGAAAGGCTGCTCATGGATTGCGTCGTAGCCCACGCACGCCTTCTTTTATTTTGATACTTTAATTTATTTTATATTTGTGATAGATGGGCTACCTACTTGTATGGGTACTTTACGCGGCCCCAGTTCCAAGATTAGGTTGGGCGTGCAATGGCGGTGCTCTTGGTTTATTGTCACAGACTTGAGCTTCACTAACAAGTCTGGTGCCAGGTTCAGCGCCGAACTTGTCAATCATACCGCCGGACCGGACAGCTTTGTGTGCGCAAGTACCTAGAGGAATGCGCAACCCTCTAGCGCTGCGCAGGTAGAAGCCCCCTTCGGTACATAAAGTACCTATGTAGCCCTGTTGCTTCCCAGCTGGCAACTGTCTTCGTCAGCTGGTTAGTTTCCCTCTCTCTTCGTCATCCTGCCCGCATCATCTCAAACTTGTTTTTTTTTTTTCACTCGTCGACAAACTCGCTGGCTCGCCGCCTTTTTTTTTTCTTTTTAGACCGTTTTGAACTGACTCTGGACACCACCTTCTCCGAAGCCCGAGATCGCTTGTCGACCTTTCTATTTCGCACCCTGCGGTTGCCGACGAATATCAAACACGCCTTGCTTGGCCTTACCCCACCCTCTTCTCTCGTCGGCATTACTCCATAGTCCCCTCCGTACGTCTGGGCCACGTCTGGGCACGTCTGGCCGCATCCCACTTCGGCCTGAGCCTCAGGCGGCAGCTATCGCCGTGAACAGGCAACTATCAGCCTCGGATTATCGGATGCACAAAAGCTCGACTTCTTTAATCTCGTGGGTGAAGTGCTAGCTAACCTGCCGTGGTCAGTTTTTCCTAATTCTTGTCCTCTGCAGTTGATCCCATTTCGTCGTCTATCCTGTTCACCAGTGTGCCTCATCTGCTCTCGCCGTCAACCCCGCCGCCTCTTTCCCGGGACGTCTTGTAGCCTTCTCGTCGTCATTTGCACCACCTACCTGATCTAAACTGCACCTCCCCTCCTCCCGCGCCTTGTGTTACAAGCTCTTTGTATTGTCGTCTGTTCTTTTCGACGACGAGGACTGTCTCATGGCAGCCTGTGCATCTCTCTAAGTGTGAGACGGTCGAGCCCTCGTCCTCGTTTCTTTCCGCCTCGCTATGGAAAAGCTGCCCACGACGCCTGCGTCCACGCCACCGCCTGCGAACCGTCGTGATATCCAACAAAATCGTCTGACTCCAACTAGACCACGCTCCCCGCTACCTGGGCTATCCAACTCGGAGCCATTTCTTCGATTTCCTCGGCCCCAAGGAAATAAACGGCTTGCAAACTGGATATCGACAAGCAATCCAGACATCATGCGAGCGGCCACTCCAACCGAGGACTCCGGTATGGCCGAGTCTACTTTTGAGCTGATCAGCAGCACCGATGTCGAATCTCATGATGAGAATTACACCGAGTCTATATCAGAGTCTGTAGGCTCGCTCGACTTTCACCGGCCAGATGATGTACAATCTCTGGCTGGTACTGAACAAACCTTTGACGATGAATCTTTGGCAGATGAAGAAGTCGAAACCTCGCCACAATCTGCTGAACATGAAGCCGGCACTGAATTAATCAATGATGAAACCGTCGTTGCTCAGCGGGCTTCTGATGCTTCGGAATCCGACGAGGAGGCTCGTTCGCGATGCTCTTTGAGCTATACTCAGCAGAGCCTGAAGACACCTTCCATCTTGACACCGGAAGCAAGCAAAATTATTGAAAGGCCCCCGGAAAATACAAACAACAAGTTCTATACACCACCTGTACGTTTTCGACATTGGATGGATATTACCAGAGAGGGAATGTTCCGCACTTGGGAATACGCTACAGATGCGACATCTGCGGTTCTCCCTGGCCTTTTATTTGGGGTTGTATTCAGTCTTCTAATCTCAACACTGTACCCTTCAACTGTCGAGTTCATGAAACCTGCAGAAACTGTCGTCACTTCTACAGTTACTGCAACCACAACACCTCTTGTAATCTATACAAAACAGTCGACCTCAACTGCTACCGTTGCACAACAGACTACATCAACAAAGGGCATGGGTTTAATTGCCATAAAAGAAGAAGCATCTGACGAGTGGCTCTTTGGCCTGAAAAGACCGGATGTTCAATTTAGCCCTTTGGGCCACGGCGCCGTTGTGGTGCACATTGCCTCTCATGTACAGAAGACATGGCTGAAGAAGAAGAACTGTGTCTCAATCACAGCCACCCGCAATGGAGAAGCCGTGGAGGTAGAATTCTACCCTTCCAAAGATGGCTTTCTTGTCAAGTTTCCAAAAAAGGAAGCTTTTGGCGTGGTCAAACTTCTAGTTGAGGCCACATGTCGACCTACTGTGTCCAAAGCTGTTAAGGTCCACTTTGGAAAAGGTATAATGGAAGAAGCATATGAACGGACGATGAATTTGGCTCACGATATCTCCGAACTGGTCCCAGTAGCTGCCCAAGAAGCAGAGCGGTGTATTGTCGGAGCTAAGAAGTCATTTGGAGCAGTGTCCGATACTGTAGCCAGTAGGGTGGTGACAGTCTCTGATACCCTGATAGGGAGACTCAAGGCCTCATCCGCCAGAATGGAAAGGCTTCTATCGGAACTTCCGTCATCTTCAATTGAGTACGCTAGGGAGGTGGTCGATGGAGTTCCACAGGCTCTGGAGTCAATGTACAAGCAGGCATCGGAGGCCATGGGATCGCACAACAACATCAAGCTCGATATCCAGGATGGTATACTTGATGCCGAACTGTACTTCCTTAGGACTCGAATTTCAGCAAAGATGTGGTGGCTCAAGGTGACCAGACAGACAGCGGAGCACGATGAGTATGGAAAGAAGGCCCAAGACTTCATTGCCAAGAGAAGGTGTGAAGGGAGAAATAAGATTCGGGGATTGCTCCGTGACGATGGCAAGGACCATGGGTTTTGTGGGCGGACGAAACGAAGTTGGTGCAAACGGCATAGCCGAAAGGGGCGGGACGGGACATTCATCTTTACTAGGTAGATGCTTGAAGGGGACATACGGCAAGCTCTCATGCAATAGAGATGAAGAGGCCCAGGCGTTGGGTTAAGGACTCTGCTTTTAAATAGGTTACGGGACGCGCTGGAGTTTTCTGGTCATGATTGAGTTGAGGACCAGCTCCGGACACTGTCGATTTATGGATTTTGTGGCCGCGAGCCAAATTTTCTTTTATAGCAAACAAGGATATCCATCTGACTTGTCATCAAATAGTAAAGGTGTTACCATGTGCCATTGTGTTGTATCAAACTCCAACATGTTGGGTGGTATTGGGAGAGTGGTCAACTAGCGGCGGTTGGTGCCTGGGTGCAATACATACCTACCTACCTAGGTAGGTAGGTAAGTACCTACTAAGTACTTACTTAAGTAGGTACTCACCTAGGTGCCTAGTACTCGATAATCTTGAAAGGTAGGGACTTGAGCAGTATGGCCTGATACAGTGACAAGTCCAGAACAATCATTTCGAGTCCTTAAATAGGCAGTCGGCACTGTAAGAAGCATAACTTACCGTGATACTTGCCCTGCGGAATCTGGATAGCTACCCCGCAGTGCCATCTGCTGCTGTTAATTAATTGTCCACGTTGGTCAGTAAAGGCGGTGAGAGCAGAAGGCCTGGCGTGTTCTGAACTTGTGACGCGCCGCCATGTACAGTGACGGAGTACGTAGCTGGGCTGCCTAATGGTGCCTTGCGGCTGAGAGCATGCAGCCCAAAATATGATTACCTACGCCCGTACGGATCCCATGTTTCTGAAGTTGACGTGCTGCAGTTGACGATGACGACGAAGTGATGAAGCAAAGTCGAGTCCTTGGATGATGCGACACCCCTGCCATACAGTACATACAGTTAATGTATGTATGTACATAAAGTACGTAGCTCTAGATGTCCCTATCTATGCCTGACCCGCGAGGCTAAACGATGGAATACTGGCGCCGACATGTGGTTGCAGCAGTGACACGCATAGTGAGGATTGGATTACACCGGAGCAAGTCACGGGTTGTATGGAGTTTGCTTCCTGGTTTGCCTGCGGTTGTTTCTGCCCTTGTGCTTCTTTCTGTTCTCGGCTGGTCCTTCGCCCCCCCCCCCCCCCCCCCCCGGATTGGTTGTTTTGGGCAACAGGGGCCGGAAGGCGCCTGGGGGGAAGGAGGACGGTGGCCCAACGCTACGCTGCGCTGACATTTGGATTCTTGGTGGGAAAGGCGCAGTCAAACCGGACTGGTCTTTGTTGCCTTTTGAGCAAGCACTTAAAACCCTTTGCAAAGGCCTTGCCTTGTTTGCACCTCGACACCCCTTGTTTTTTTGGTAAAGAGTTCTTTTACACACCTCTGTTGCTGCAGACTCTACTGGGTGTTTTTGTCCAGGCGTCGTCTCTACCGGCTGTAGCGCGCTAGTTCCCTGTGAGTGCATTTCATCTTGATTTCCATGTCATCTTAATGGCGGCCCGCAGCAGCAGCAGCAGCAGCAGCACTTGATTGACAGCGGACCTGTTTGGCTCTCGCTGGTGGGGCGCAGATGCCCCGAGTGCTAAACGGGTTTGGCTGGTGGAGGGCCCGAGGGCTGGAGGGGTAATAACAAGAACCAAATCTGTGGTGGGCACGGGATTTTTTTTCAAAAGCATTCCTTGTTCGAGACTGACTGGACTGTTCGAGCGGGAAGCATCTACACAGTTTCGCCTTTCACATAGTCTCCGACCGTTTTCAACTTACGATACCCCCCCCGAAGAAGCAAACATGTCTGGCGCTGAGAACACCGAGCCCAAGGTCGAGGAGACCAAGCCCATCGAGACCACAGAGCAGGTATGAGCCGCCCTTCCTGCAGACACTTGTCTTGTCCTTGTCCCGCACTGAAACCCATCGACGGTGCTGTCCATGGTGGCGGCTGCTGTCGGCCGTTGGGACTTTGGTCCATGGCCGACTATGCGCCCGCGTCTTCATGTGCGGTTCTAAAGTTGATGCTTTGGTGGGATATTTGGGGAAAAGTCGTCTGGTGGCGCGATTATGCTACGCCTTGCTTGCGAATCTCTTTGTTCTCGTCAGATGCTAATTGTATGATGGCTAGGCTACTGGTTCCGCTTCCGATCCCGCCCCTGCCGCCGCTGATGAGAAGCCAGTAACCTCGTCGGCCGTATTCTCCATGTTTGGAGGCGGCGCGAAGAAGGAGAAGAAGGACGAGGACGAGGACCGTGGCGACACTTCTGGTAGCGCCAAGGCCCAGCGAGAAGCCGCCAAGGCTGAGGCTGGCGAGGTACGTTGTTTGTTTGTTTTTCACGCGCGAATCTCGGAATAATGGTTGTGCGATGATGATGACTTGAGAAGTGCTTGGACTGTGTTGGCAGGTCTGGATGGTGGATGCCCGGAAGTAGATGACTGACCATGTTCACCGCTGCAGGAAGATGCCCCCGAGAGCGAGGATGTCCATTTTGAGCCCGTCATCAAGCTCACTGAAAAGGTCGAGACCAAGACCAACGAGGAGTCCGAGGAGCAGCTGTTCAAAATGCGCGCAAAGTTGTTCAAGTTCTCCAAGGAATCTAGCGAATGGAAGGAGCGAGGAACTGGTGATGTTCGCCTGCTCAAGCACAAGGAGAATGGCAAGACCAGACTGGTTATGCGACGCGACAAGACTCTCAAGGTCTGCGCTAACCACTACAGTAAGTTTCTTGTCCCTCTAACCACTGTGGATGCTGTGGACGCCATGAATGTGGGTGGATGACGGGGGTTGTTCAGGAATCAGAGCGACTGACCCTTTTGTGTGCTAGTTGTGCCCGAGATGAAGCTTTCTCCCAACGTTGGTTCGGACCGCAGCTGGGTATGGAATGCCGCTGCTGATGTCAGTGAGGGCGAACCCGAGGCTTGCACTCTTGCCATTCGCTTCGCAAACTCTGAGAGTGAGTCTGACACCACATTACTTTTGTACGCGAGCGACCCTGTACTGACGCGCATGCTGTAGACGCCAATCTCTTCAAGGATGCTTTCTTGAAGGCCCAGAAGGAGAACGAGGTGATTTTCGGCAAGGAGGAGGGATCGACTGCCAAGTCTGAATAAGTGTCCAGACGCTCAGCCATGCAGAAATCGTCACGGGCTCTTGCAGTCCATGAACCACGAAGAGCTGCTGCTCCCTGCCACCAACCTGACATCACTGCCCTCCCCCCTTTAACCCTTATCCCATCGTCACATCAGCGTTCAGTGTCACCCCAGCAGCGAAAATATTGTGTCCTTGGAACCAACGCCCCCAATACTGAAGCCAACCCGAAAAAAAGAAGAAAAAAAAAACTACAAACTCTCTATTTTTTTGTTACAAAATTCACTGAATTGGGAACCATTCGGAAAGGAGGTGATGATGAAGACGGCTATGAATGAGATGAAAAATGGAGTAGTTGAATGGACAATTCATGGGTTGAGGAACAGAGAATGCGGGCAGGAATTGGACCACCCAAGCGGTGCAAAATCCCCCCCCTCCCAAGCAGGGATCGCGAATGGTAGATAGCATTTCGGAAGCATCAGGTCACAACACAAAGTAATAAATGCAATGTCAAATGGAAATGGGGATGCTTGTGAGCGAGGGGGGCGAGACTTGCAGCCGCATGCGTAGGGTTGAATCAATATCGGGGCATTTCTGCTGTCGGCAGGGAGAGCAGAGCAGAGCAGAGCAGACGGTCCATCAAATGGTTGGTTGATGCAGGCAGCACCGGCATTGGCTCACACCAAAGGTACGGAGTACCTGGGACTGCACTGGAGCATGGGCCCGAGCGCCCAGGTGGCAGGTCAAGTCTGGGTACTCCGTACGCCGGGCGCCAGATGAGCACATGCACTTGAGCACTTGAGCACTTGCACGAGGCTAGCACTAAGGCCTTGAAATGTGCGCCAAGCTGTCATTGAATGGACATTGATGGCCATGTTTGATCCATTATTAGCCTTGAGCCGTGAAAGCGCCCAATGAAGATTGAAGCCATGCCAGACCGTCCATGTCTGCCCCAGGCGCCCGCCAGGCAGCTCCCCCCAGCGCCGGCGCCCTCACGACTCGACCAGACTGTCCGACCACTCGACCGCCTGGCTCGACTGGTCGTCCACTTGGGCAAGTTGACCAGACGCCTTCCTGTCGCCAGCCCGAACCTCCGACTCCCGTCAAGTTCCTCCACGTCGTGTCGGATCGCATCCTCGGACGTCTTCGCTCCATCGCAATTGACGGCCCTGCAACATCTATCCTATAATACCGGACGCGGATTTCCTCTGTCGACCTATCCCTTACTGGATCGCAGCACCCACCGATTTTTGGTTTTTTTCTTTTTAATTTTTCCTTGACGTGCCCGTTCCCTTCTGTCCGTCTTGCAACCGTCATTGCTACGGTCCGAGTTGTGTTATTATTAATTTTTTTTCTTTCTTGCCTCCTCTGATCCCTTTTTGTTCCCGTCCTTGTTGCGATACTCGATACTCGACGCAGAAAGAGAAGGGAGAAGCAGCGAAACGGGGAATCGGAACCGGAACGGGAGCCATTTTAAACGGAGTCGAATTTTTATTTTGAATTTTTCCTTGATCCTTTTTGTTCTTGCTTTGCTTCAAGGAGAACGGGGATCCGTCCGGACAGCCGCCAAGATGCTGGTAGAGGTACGTTGAGCATTTTGAACCCCCTTGACCTCCGGGCGGCGGCATCGGTCGTCTGCAGTTGCTAGTTGCTTTGCACTCCCCCAAATACCCCTTTGCCCTGCCATCGTACCCCGTGGGCCCCGTCCTGTCTTGTCTTGTCGCTGGCCAGCGCGCTGTTTAAATGGATGGGGAGACTGGGCGAGGGGAGGACAACATTCAAGGCAGTCGCGGGGAGCAGCCGATGGATGCTGGTGTCGATCGACGAAGCATGGCGAGGCTGCCTCCTTGCGACTCGGCCTGGGACGGAGAGGCACAACCTTGCGAGCGAGCAAGAGCCCATTCATTCAATCTTGTTCCCTGACGGCTGCAAAGGGCTGTCGACCGGCTACTCTGTGTGCTCGACAGCCGGCCGACAGCGCCTCTGGATGCGTGCCTGGACGGCAGGACTCGAACGGCCTTTGCCTGTGTTTATTTTCGGGGCCATGAGCTACCCGCACTCACTCGTGCTCGTGCTCGTGCTTGTGCTTGTGTGTGTGTGTGTGTGTGCTTGGCCTTGGGCTGCTCACGATTTGGCTCTTGCAATTCCGGCTCTTGTTCATCTCTGTGCCCGTCTTACAGTCCCAGTCCCGTCCCGCCTCGTCGATGCTCCTATTTTGCGTGCGAGGAGCTTTGCGCTTTACCGCTGTCCCCGTTGCCCTTGCCGCCGTCTTTTCTTTTGTGTTTCTCTTATTCACATCGCGGGAACCCTTTTGCCTCGAGCCTTTTTCTTCTTCATAACCATCTATATCCAGAGCTGCCGAAACGAACAAGGAGAAAGCAGCCTCGCCTCGCCACCCACGGAAAACACCATTTTATCACGATGCCGCCTCGGACGAGGAAGAATGCTAACGATCGGCAGAGGAAAGTTAAAGTCGTCACCGAACAACACGTCATGTAAGCAACCAGCCACGAATTTTTTTTTTTTTGCTCTTCTCTCTGAAGCTTGCCTACTTCCCGCATCATCGAAATCGACGAATGGACGAGAAACAAAGAAAGAAAGAAGATATTTACAAAGTTCTGGTTTTTATTTTTTGCCACGAGTCTGCATGCTGTGAGCTACAGACCATGCCTATTACAGAAATAATGAAGCAAAAAGGAAGGACGGAATTGCTGCAAGGAGGATCATTCTTGTTACAATTCCTCTGAAAAGATGCTAATTGTGGCTTGCGTGATAGTGACAAGCCCTCCCCAGTAGCCGAGTTTCCTATGCGAGAATGGAGCTTGAAATTGCACTTATTGGATGAAGAAGGCAACGAGAGGCCTGCCGATGTGTTCACCAAGGTTGTCTACAACCTACATCCTACCTTTGAGAATCCTACTCAGAGTGAGTTGAAGCCTGGCTACCCTTCCACCTGGACCTTTTTCATTTTTTGGCCAAGATTGGAGCATGCGCTAATCATGTATGCATCGTTTGCCTTCAGCCTTCATCAAGCCTCCATTCCTCTGCAGCAACGAGGGCTGGGGTGAGTTCGAAATCAGTATCGACTGCTACACGACTGAAAAGACGAAACTGGCCTCCATTATCCATGACCTGAATTTTCTGCAGGAGAAATATGAGGCCACACATACAGTCACCTTCAAGAACCCGTCGCAAGCTCTGCAGGAACGCCTGCGTGAAACTGGCCCTTTGCCGAACGACGACGACCGCCAAAAGAAGAAGACCGTCGCCAGTAAGAAGGGGGGTCAAAAGTACGACTACGAGAAGATTGCTGAGGCACTGGAAAAGCTTGACGAGGAGGACCTGTTGCGTGTTATCCAACTGATTAATGAGAACAAAGGTCCGGATACCTACATAAGGAGCGATGTGGAAGGTAAGTTTGTGGCTGCCCGCTGCTTTATCCTGTCCGCGCCGGGGAATGTCTTCGGAGTTGTTGATGTTTGAAATGCGTATGAGCTAATAGTCGATAACCTTGCTGAAGCCGGGGAGTTCTCAATTGACCTGTATACCATGCCGGATATGCTGACGGCAAAATTGTGGGAGCACCTGGTATGTTGATACATCACCCTTGAAACGTTGAAGCCCCGCCCCCCTTGGTCACCGTTGATTGGATGCAGAAAGGAAATCACAACTTCTGACAGATGCCACAGTCAAAGAAGGGATTGGTTAATTAATCGTCTTTCATATATTTTGCCTCGGGGCCTCCCAGCAAAGCTTGAGGCTGCCTTTGGTGCATAAGCACGAAAAATTGCGAGGAATCTGGGGTGGGGGAGGGCCGGCGGGCATACCAGGCCACGGGTTGCTACGCCAGGGTTGATAATCTCAGACCAAGTCTCGTTCCTCAATGGACTTTTGACCGGCAGCCACAAAGGATGTAGATTGATTCTTCAATATACGGGTGCAAGTGGGAAGAAACCTTGGTGAAAGGGAAATGGACATGGGGCTTCTCACTGTATGGAGTAGAAAGGGAGTGAAACGATTGTTCTTTTATGTTGGTGTTTTTTTTTATAAAAAAGAAACTCTTGTTAGGTTATCGTAAAAGTGGGCTGGGAATGAATAGTCTTTTTTATGCAACAATGTCAACTCGACGTAATGATTGCAACGCGAGTGTTGGCCCAGAGTGGGTGATTGATTAGGCGATTCTGCAAGCACTTTAAGTATGTACGTAGTGGTTGTCGGCGTATTCTCCCCAGTTGACCTGTCTGTGTGTTCAACTTGATTTGTGGGAGACGTAGCTTACGGAACATGTTGAAATCATGTAACCACCACCACTGCTCGGCTAGATAGAGCCTACGAGGCGCAAGGGTGTGTTTTGGTGGCCGTCACCAACTCGTCAGCCAGCCATGGCAAGACGGCTTATCAAGGGTTGGCCATTTACTATACTAGTAGCCTTTTCCTAATGAATAACAATTTTAAAAAAAACGTGTCTTGTGAGAATTATGCTGTCGCCAGGACCAGGGGCCGCGCGCGTATTAGTATGTATGCGTGTAGTACTACTTGTATTCGCGGCAATGCAAATCGCGCCGCCATGGGGATGCATGTGACTTTGCACGAATAGGGTGCAAGCGTTCTTCTCCCCGGGCTGGACACCGTGGTTGCCTGCTTTTGCGGCGGAGGCTGGAAAATCTTGCGAATGGCGGAGGGCGTTGGCTCTTTTTTTTTTTTTTTTTTTTTTTTTTTTTTTGCCTTGGTAGGGCTGAGAAGCAGGGAATCGTGGGCTTGACGCGGGGCTCGATGTACAAGACTCAGCGTACTCCGTAGAGTGTACACGCATCCATGCTGCGGCGGGCAAGGCGAAACTTCGTAGAATCTACACGGGCGGCTGGCACGTGGGAAAATAGGTGTCAAGTGCCTGGTGATTTTCGGCGGCTTCTGTTGATCACACACAATGCAACTTACTCTGTGCGACGATGGTTGGATGTGGCTATCAGGGTGTCATTTATCATTGTACGGAGTAGTACATTGCTTTATGCGGCGCGGGCTGTGGAAATGGGTTCGAGTTTTGCCGCTGCTCCCCATCGTCAAGGTTGCCCGGTTTTGTTGGCCGGCGTGTGCAAGCCTAGGTGACTGTTTCTGCGTTGAGGGGAGCCGTGGACGTTGAAGGTGCCGATGGCTCAAGTTGCTCGAGCCTTTTGGTTTTAGGAAAGACTGATGCTAGTGTTTTGTAGGTAGGGCATTGTTTATGTTTGTCGTCTTGGAATGCAAAACTTGGTAAAACACCGTGTTGAGATACACTTGGGCTCATGTTCATCATGTCACAGTATTACCACTGTTCTGTTAAGAAAAATCACAGCTAGGAGAAAAGATGTGCACTGTAACGTTTGTTGGTCCATGTTGAAGCCAAGCACAGCCGAGGAATGATGTGGGTGGTGGTGGTGGCAGCCAAGATTTGATGCGTAGGACCCGTGTGTCAGTGGCGACTCCATCAAGGTATCTTGGTGATCAGAAATCACCAGGCAAGTCGCATGCTTTGCACAATATGCCACGGGGAGTAGCTGACAGGCACAAGCATGAAAGAAGGGGGAAAGAGTGTTCTGGCTAAGCATGAAGACTCCGTGTCCGTGATATATAGTTGGGGGTGCCCTAGCTAGGCCGGAAGGGTCGAGTAGGGCCATGGTAAACGAGTCAAGACCATCATCTGGGACAACATTCTAATTGACGGTGCAACATTGCCGGCCGATGCTCACAATGACTAAAGGCTTGTCTTGTCAGTATTGACGAGTCTGAAACTCGATCAGCCATCAACAGGCATCGGCCTAGATAGCTTTTTATTAGCAACTACCGAGTACCAATTTAAATTATCCTGCTTGGGCAATGACATCAAGATCTCTCTCATCGATACTGTAAATGGAGACGACGACACTCGCCTTCTTGAACAACCGAGAGGATCATTGGTTCCACCTGCAACAGAGGCAGAACCTGCAAGCCCACGCTTCAGTTGCATCGCCAGTCTCCATAGGAATAGGATCATGCACCTCGCCGAGAAGAGGACCAGACCTAAGCAAAGATCCCTTGCTGGGGAGGCGGAGTCCGCCATGGCCCGTGGCAATAATAGCACCGAGTATGTATGTACATAGTACAACAAGTACCTGAGTATCTGCGAAGATGGGGAATTTTGACCACACGCATCTCCAATGCCCTTGCAAGCCACGAGCACGCGTTGGCTGGACATTCCTGGGAGCGTCTTGAGCGACAGCCAGACTCACACTGGTTGTCTGTGTCTTCTTTTGCAGCCAACGTGACCTTCTAGACCCATCATGATTTATCCACCCATGTCAAACCTGGCTTGGAACTGCCATGTTCTTTTTGCCATTGGCCTTGACATGGGGCTTGATTGGCTAATAGCTGGCAAATTGCTCATTGTCGTTGGTGAGCTTTAGTGTGGTGGCAAAGCCAATGTCGACCGGATACGGAGTACATGCATTAGACACGAAGAAAGGCACTTCGCCGTATGAAGAAGAAAAAAAACATATTCCCCCATTCTCGAAGCATGCGGGTTTAAATCTCTTGTGGAATCGGATAGACTGAATGGCCAGGTGGTGAACGACATAACTGTCCAAAATCGGCCGCGTCAAGTGACTGGGTCATATCACCTTGATACTCCCGAGTGTCCCTACATACAATTCTTTTCACCGGACTCGCGGATCAGGAACGACAAGAGGTTGCAACGGCGCCGGAGGAGAACGGCCACACGGAGCATCTGAGCCGGGCTAGTATGTATCTGGGGACATCCTGGCAACATCGAGCGTATGCTAAGCAGGCGTTGACTTGGGTGTTGACGGATTCACAAGCGGCAGAAAGGCTCTGTACTTTGAAAGGTCAGTCATGGTAATCATCGATCCCGTCATCAACCAATCTCTCCCCGTGAACTTGACTCCCGAGAGCAGAAGAGGGGGCGCTGGACACAATGGTACCTGCAAAAGTACGCCGTCTGGGGGCTACTTTGTACGTAAGATCAATGTCTGGTGTTGGCCTAAAGGGGCAAAGCCAACCCAAAGCTAGCAAGCAAGGTGCAAGAGGAGCAAAGAAGAAAAAAACGTGTTTTTTTTTTTTTCACTTTGACGCCCGAGTCAAAAGATCCCTAGAGTGACTGCGCCAGGAACGCCAGGCCGTACGTATTGGATACATACATATGGCTGAAGGCCATCGGGCCAGTTTCAGACACTCCGGCAGCTCCTTCTCCCGCTGTTCTGTCCTTCCTTCCTTTTTCCACAACGCCCACTTAAACCCCAAAGTCCGGGGAACAACAACCACCTGGACCTTCCTAGTTCTTTGCGTCCAGGCTGTGAGGTGGTCTGAGCTCCCTACGCGGAAACTAATCAGACCAGACCAAGGTTGAGACTTGCACTCACCATCTGGAGTTTGTTTGACGTTTGAATGTTGGACCTTCACACCGGAACGCTTTCGCAGATCGTCCATGCCAGGGGACAGGGAAATCTGCAGCCCAGCAGTCACATCGCATTGTGGTGTTGCGTCTTGCTTCTCATACCAAAATCATATTTTGTCTGGCTGCCAAGTATTACGTTCGTGGTGCCCAGAAAACCAGCGACGACTGCCCCAGCCCGCCGCACCAACTCGCCGCACACACACCAGCAATCTTCGACAACCCTAGGTCCGACTTGCTGACAGACGACGTGAAGAGACCTCATGTGCTGCCTCGAAGCCGACTGGGTGAGGGACACCGACACCGACGTGCTCTCGACACGCTCTCGATACTGACCCCGCTTGCTCTCGCCTAGAGACACCAGGGACGAGGACAACCACCAGGGTCGACTCCACCCACTCACCCACTCCACCCACTTCTTCACCCTCGCACCCACTACACCTGAGCCCGCTGCTCGCGGCAACCAGAAACGATCTACTTGGCTTGGAACAGCTACTGGCCGCTGCCCACTCATTTAACTGCCCGCCTTTTGCTGACACTTTCTTTTTTTTTTCGCCCACGCTGACATTAACGCTCAAGACGGGGACGCTGACCACTGACGCTTCTCCACGGCCTTGCGCGGCCCTTCGACTGCACTTCCACTGATCATCCGCCGCAAACCGAAGTTCCAACAACAACGCATTGTCGCAACGCAACAGCCTTATTGCTGCCTTGCCTGGCATGGCCCAACCTCAGTTCGGTGCTGGCACTTCTGCATCAAGCCCCAGTGTCTCTGCGACGCCTGGTGCCCGCCAGCAATCGCATCAGACGGGGCCGTCGTCGGGAGCTGGAGACACTCCAGGCCAGCTTCAGCACCAGCACCAGCAGAAGCACCAGTCGTCGTCTCAGGCGGCTGACCACCAATCCTCAGCCCAGAATCCTCAACACAAGCGCGTTTACCAGGCCTGTATCCCATGCCGCCGCCGCAAAGTTCGGTGCGACCTAGGCAGCGTTGACAACCCTCATGACCCGCCATGCGTGCGCTGCCGCCGTGAGAGCAAGGAGTGTTTCTTCTCCGCCACTCGCCGGAAACGAAAGACCGACGACGACGAAGACAGCGACGTCGACGAGTACATCATTCGAAACGGACGTAAAAGGCTTCATGCCGGTGAAAGCCCACCACCTCGTCTCGACCGTCGCTTCTACAGCGAAGTTCCCCTCACTCCCGGCGGCTCTCATGGCCGCAGCCATCCTCTGCGCCGACCCGACGGGAGCAGGCCGAGGCAGCGCAGAGACTCCGAGCTCGATGGTGACGGCGATGCCAATCTGGAAAACCTCGAGGCCCAGACAGCGATGCGCCGTGCCGTGTACAACCCCCATGACGCGCTAGACCTACTCTACAAGGCTGCAACCGATAGGTCTGTTGTCGAGTCGTCTGGCAAGATGGTGAACAGTGCTGACTGGACTAGTCCCGCTGCGAACAACCATGGACGGGAGGGAAGCATCGCTTCGGCGACCACAGCACCAACCCACCAGCCCACGCCACAGGACACCGCGAATAGAGACGTCCCTAGACCGAGATCCATGTCCGCCGCGAAGCCCGAGGCAGAACTCCATATACCCCAGCGCCAGTTTCAAGATACCGCACCGCAACAGACACAGCAACAGCCTGCAGATCCTGTTCTCGCGCAGCAACCAACTCTGAGAACTCAACCTGGATACGCAGAGGCCTTGCGTGCTTGGTCACGGTTCCGTTTTGTTAGAGCTGGTTGGTTCACTGCTCAAGAAGCTATACAGTATATTGACTAGTAGGTCTACCATGATCAGCCATATTGAGCCGTCTGACTACAAGTTGGGGGGGTCTGTCCGGCGCCTACTAACTTCCCTGTCACTTATAGCTATTATAAGTACCTGTCACCCATGACACCCATTTCACCACCAACCTTTAGCGACCCCGCCTCCCATCTCACGCTCCTTACCGAAGAACCAATCCTCACCGTTACCCTTCTTACAATCTCCTCGAGATATCGTCAAATGCCCGGGACTGGAGGTCACTGTCGTTCGCATGCCATCCCAGAGCAGCTTTGGACCTACCTCCGAGGAATGATTGAGCGTTGTCTGTGGGGTCAAGAAGCCTTCGGTGGTGGGTTCTGCGGCTCTGGTGGCCCCGGTTCTTCGTCAATGATTATGGAGGAGACAGAAACAAGCAGCACTGCGCCTTGGCGCGGCATGAGAAAAGGCAGTCTGCGAACCCTAGGAACTATTGAATCGCTGCTGATTTTGACCGAGTGGCACCCCCGTGCCTTACACTTCCCTCCTCAAGAAGCCACCGACGAGCTCATGCTTCCTGATTACAACATTGGGCCGACGGCTTCGTCTGACGACTCAAGTAGAAATGTAGGTGCTGGTTTTGGAGGTAAAAGAATAGAGAGCTGGCTCGAACCGGCTTGGAGAAGCGATCGCATGTGTTGGATGCTTCTCAGTACTGCTATGGGTCTTGGGTACGAGCTGGGTGTCTTTGATGACATTGATGAGATGCTCAAGGACGATACAATTACGCGTCCAGAGTATATGGACGAAACCTACAGAACGAGGGCAAATCGTATCAAGCGTCTGTTGCTCATTTACACCTCCCAGTTAGCTGGTCGTTTGGGCTGGACAAGCATGACTCCAGAACACCTTCGCAAAGCTGACCCAGCGGTGGCAAGACGGCGCACCGCAACCAATGAAGGAAACACCCCGAGCACATCCTCCATGGTGAACGGTTTTAACTACGTGCCGGATCTAGAACTTGATGATCAAATTATTCACTGTTGGGCCGGAATCAGTAATGCTATGCATGTTGGTAATGAAAAACTGTTCCGCTCCAGAAAATACACCACGGAAATCATCCAGTCAGGACGATATGTGGAGCTGCTTCGAGAGTACAGTCCTTTACTGAAGGACTGGTATAGGGAATTTGAACTTTTCCGCCTCCCTCAGTTCATTAGGCACATCCTTACCATTGAGTACGAGTATGTACGTATTTATGTCAATTCTCTGTCACTGCAGGCAGTGGTAGAGCGATGCACGAACAATGCCGGACAAAATGGCAACGGTGTCGATGGACAGGCCACCAATGGACCGACTCAATTGTCCCCACAGACAATGATAAACTATGGCAAGTTGCCACTGGGACAACTAGGTGGTTTCACAATTAATGATCAAGAATACGTCCGAGAGGTCGTTGGCGGATGTCGGAACTTGCTGCGCACCGTGGTCGAGGGCCTTCTGCCAGGCGGCTACCTGAAGCATGCTCCAGTCCGAACTTATTTCCGCATCATCAGTGGAGCTATGTTCTTGCTGAAGACATTTGCTTTGGGTGCCCCGCGATCAGATGTAAAGCTCAGCATTGAACTTATGGATGCTACCGTGGAAGCGCTCCGAAACTGCGTTGTAGACGATGTTCATTTAGGCATACGGTTTGCTGATCTTCTCGAGACACTGACAAGTCGATTAAGAAATCGTTTTATCCAGGCGCCGACTATGCAGCAGGGCTCTGGCAAGGATCCAACCCCATTGCCCGAGGGCACTATGCCTGGTGTTGCGGCGGCCGGTGGCCAAGGCGAGCATACGGCAAGCTGGGTGGGCAAACATGCCCAGAAATTGCGAGAAGGGCTCACTGGACAATGTAAGTACCAATCATCTCCTTGGATGAGGATGCGAGTATTCCAAGGGTTTGGACTGACTCTAGGTGTTTTTTTGCAGATCGTCCCGCTTCACCGAGCGTCGAAGGCAACAATATCTCAGCTACGCCATTCGACTTGTCCACTGGCAACTTTCCCTATCCTAGCGCGTCGTCTATAGGACCATCAACACCAGCAGCGCATGTGGAAAACAATGGAGCTGCTCCTTCTAATGGCGTGGAAATGCAACTTTTCGAGGGCTGGGACAACCCAGGCAACGAAATGTGGTACCTACCACCGGGTCCAGCCTTCTTTCAAAACATGGGAGACAGCTCCGTTGCTATGACGGCCGAAGGTGTCAATGTTGGCGGATTGGATCTGTTGGAGTACATGGCAATGGATCCAGTGCAATTTTCTAGCATTGACGGACCCGGCTCGACAAGTGGGAATGCTGGAACACAGGGCTAAAATACTTGGAAATACTTGGGCCTCACAGCGATCCAACTAAAAATCTACAATTCACAAGAGAGAAAATTACACCTCGCTGGTGTTTGGTAATGGAAATGATTTGATGAGAGTGATGGCAATCGACGCAATGGTTCTACCCAACCAATATGACTTTGGTAATTGTTTGACTCTCTTTTGTTCATTCTTCTTTTTCCTTGTTTAAAATATGGAGTTACTTTTACAAGCGGCGGTTTTTCAGTGTGTCACATTTTACAGCGAATTTGGCGAAAAGGGTCGGGAAAAAAATTGTTCGTTATTACTCTTGTGGTGTTTGGAGCTGCTTTGTTTCTGGTATTGCTGTGTGAGTTGAGTTCTGGTCCGTCTTTGGAGACTCAAATGTCAGATTTGGTAGTATTGCGTCTAGGGAAAGGGGGGGAGGGGGGACGCGCACAATCTTCTGATTTGCAATATCCTCCACACATTTTATCATCTCAACAAGTATAGAGCTATGGGCCACTGAGGAGCCATGCTAGTGCCATGAACGTGAGTTGGAAGTAAGCACTGCTGCTGAGAAAAGATGTTGCTGAAGGAGAATGGGTCGATTGTTGTAACTTGATAAGTAGAAGCTCAATCAAACAGAAAATTTGACATGGACAGGTAGGCAGGCAGGCGTTGCCGTGAAACTTGTATTCAAGCATGGTCGGCATTCTAAAGAGGATACGCAAAACTGTCACTATACTTTGGTTCCCTCTGGCGTCAGCCGAATTATGTCCACGTACAGCGGCTAAAAGTACTCTGTACAACAACTCAATTCCATGCTTCTTCCTCCTTTTTTCCCTTCCCAATAGCCGTGTACACTGTTCCGGAATATCACCCTTGCATCAGACCGACGAAGCGGCGATTTGTGCATTAGATACGCAATAAATGAAAAAGGGAGGAAGATTCTGACACAAATGTACAGAAGTTGGGCCCGCATCCTATCGACTCTGACGATTAGGCTACATGGCTGATATGGCTTAATTAAATGGAAGATGAATCGCTTCGCTCTTCGGTAGAATGATTAAAGAATGCTGATGCAGTAAGAAGAAGAGAAGAGCAAGCAGCACAAACAACACGAAAAAAAAAATCTTTTCTTGTTTCTTCCAAGACAACAGACGGTTGTCCGAAAATAAAAAGCCGTGGTATTTTCTTGAGCCAAATAAAGAAGGTGGCGAGGAACAAAAGAGAAGCATGCGGGAGAGACTGTGTTAAGGTTGGGATAGCAAAATGCTGGCATATCGTGGTAGGGCGTGGCGTTACAACAAGATGTCTGACCAAATGGCGTCATATTGGCATACGATGCTATTGTGGTGTGCGAGTGGAAACAAAACAAAAAGCAAGCGACCACCGGAACGAAATGGATGGGGTATTTTGAATCAAAGAAAAGAACAACGAATCAAGCGAAACAAGAGAACATTGAAGTATGCACAAGCGCTTAGAGTGCATAGGTGGTGCCACGAGTAGCATGGGCTTCTTGCAGGACTAGAGAGGATGTCAATTTCCATGTCGTTGGGATTTCGCAGAAACAGCACGTCAAAATTCGCCACAACTTACTTTGCAAGACTCTCAATTGTCCGGCACGGTCCTCGCAAGCTACCTGAATGCCTGAACCCTCGATAAGATCCAGAACAACGCTATTCGGGAGTTCTTGTACCTCTACATCCGGAGTGTACGGGGCGCGGAAGTCACTGAGATGGTATCGCTTCGTGCCTTGCGCAGGTCGGCCGTTTTGGGCAGGCAAGGCGCTCAGAATCAGGTACCCCTGAGAATCGAGGCACATGTTTCGACGTTTCCAGAGTAAATTATCCGGGAATTGAACATTGACGTCGCCCATGTAGGATACAATGGTCGGGGACCCGGTAGTCGACGGGCGCGATTGGACAGGTTCTCGGGTCTCTTCCTTTGTCGTTGGTGGTGATGTAGCTGAGAGGTTATTCTTGGAACGAGATCCCGAGAGCTGAGAGAGACGGTGCATGAACCGGCTAGCTCTCGAGAGCTTCTTGTCCCCATTGGTCGACTTAGCATCGTCTCCGGATCCCGAGTCTGCGGGCGACAAGACGACATCACGATCCCTACTAAAAGATGACCGATGGCTGCTAATTGAAAGACGAGGAGAGAAGGTGGCGCTCCCATGCGTTGTATCTGGCCGTGTAGGTGAGTACGCAGGGTTGCTGCCGTCTGAAGTCACCGACTTGCGTCTTTCCTTCCTGAAGCCCTTGACAATGCTGAGCGAGGATTGTCGAGGCTTGCCCGGCTTCCCATGTTCGGGGTTTTCAGTTGTGTGCTCAGATGCCGGGTCAGTGGTTCGGTAGTCCTTTCCTGGAGAAGCCGCCTGGTGGTCCACTAGAAGTGGTGACTGTTTCAACTCTAGAGGGTTGTATTCAGATGGATCTCTAGAAGGCTCGAAGCCCATCTGCACCGGTTGATTATGATCACGAATAATGCGTGCGGTAACGGAGATGGATTCTGGCCGGCCACGACTGGGGGCCGCAGTAGGGACTACAAGGTTTCGTGGTCCAGGTGCTGGTTCAAACATGGATAAACGGCTGGTTACTGAGCCTGATCGTTCCAACCGATTGCGCCTTCCTCCTTCTGGTGAGGATTCCAGTGTTCGCTCTGGGGATGAAGGAGTCTGGTGTCGGAATGAGTTTGCTCTGTCCAACACGGACGGTGATCTAGATGGCTCGCGCTTCTTCACGGCGAAAAAGGTTGACGAGGGTCTTTCTCTCGTCGGAGCCGCCAGAGCATCTGTCGAGGGTGCAGAGCGCTGTTCAAGCTCCTTGATTCGCTCGGAGATGACTGAGCCGATATTGGACTTCTTAGCCAGGTTTCCTCCCTGTTGTTTCTGAGCGATGTGGTTCAAGTAGGCAGCACTAGAACTCATGGACCGCGCTGAGGATTGGCTGGCATCGGATGGAAGAACCAGATCGCCGCGTACGGGGTTCGATACAGTCCTAACCGTGTAGCTATTTTGTGCTTTGCTAGGACTTGGGGGGAAGCTGGGAGTGAGGGGCGTCTTGATAACTGTTGCCGACGTGGCCTCCTCAACTACCGCGCTCTGTATTTCATCCTCAAAGTTCTCCTCCATTTTCAAGTTTGTTGTCTGTATGGGCAATATCTGCATCTCGCGCTTGGCTTGCTTCTCCTCCCGAACCAACTGGACTTCGTCATTATCATTTGCCTTCTTCCTGGTGTCTATTATGTGATCGTTTTCAGTGAGAGTTTGCCCGTCTTCTTCGAGATTTCGGGTACCATTTGCGGAGAATTTGGAAAAGGCCAAAGCATTGTCCTCTAGGCTGTTTTGCTCGTCATGGTTTTTGTCGACATCCTGCGCGGAGAGATCCTCGGAATCCCGCGAGGCTTCTGCAATCGAGGTCGCAGTATTATCAGTACCTCGCCCCAAATTCTCCATCGCATCCAAAGGCTTCTGGACAGTATGCTCATCAACTGCGACTCCCACATCAGACTTGGGTTCACCATCAGCTGGGCCATCGATAGCGTGGGTTGCTTCTTCTAGGTTCAGGCCAACAGAATCACGAGGATGCTTCTCCTTAGTTTCTGGCGACTGCTCCTCCTCTTTGGCGTGTACTGTCTCATCGGTCGACTCTGAGATGGATGAAGCTTTCGTGGAATGACCGGCATCAGAAGACCCAACCAGAGGGCTTGCTGGGTGAGAGTCGGAAGGTGCGAGGTCAGAATTCTGGTCATTTGGGGCCACAGAGGTTGGCGTTTCCAGCATGATACCAGAATCATCCTTGTTTAATGAAAGGCGCCTGTCCGTCTCGGGAAGGGGATCGGAACATGATATAGCCTCGTCTTGCCCCTGTGTGGCATTATCAATGACATTCTTGAGCTCCTCGCTGTGGGCTGGGGCTGCTTCGGTCGACGGCAGCATGCTCATTTTCTTCTTTTGATCACGCAACTGCTTAGCCTTCATCAATCTGGCCTTCTCACGGCTCATCGTCGGTTTCTTGGGTGTAGATCCAGGTAAGGGTAATGAGTCAATGGACAGGCCCGAACTAGTAACCGGCCTCTCTTGACCATCATCAAAGGTCGAGTTGACAGCCACTGAAAAATCGGGGCTTGCAAGCTCCTCGTGGGGGGATGAGAAAGAATTTTGTCGGTCCCTGTTCTTTCCCTTCTTGCCACCTTTTCCAAACATCTTGAACCCAGCAGGAATAGCAGATACAGGCCGGAAATTGCCAGCGGTTTGGGGTCGACCATTGGCATCGACGGAGGGGCGTGGACCGAGCTTCACCTTTGGTTTGCTGTACGGGTATGAACCATATGTATACACGTCACTCTCGGGCGAAGTGGGACGTTCATCAACACCAACGAACTGAGGCACTTCGGACGTTGTCGCTGCAGAAAACTTGCTGTTCTCGGGGGATGATGCGAGCTCTGAGTTAAGCGTGACAGGTTCGGATGTTGACCGTCGACCGGTAGGAGACTCCGGTCGACTCCCGTCAGCATCTTGCACAGACTGACGTTTTGTGGCTCTTTTCTCTTCCTCTTCCTCCTCCGTGATTTCCATAAGCCGTCTCCGACGCAGAGAGCTAGTTGATGACGAGGTCGAGCAGGACGCGGTGTGCAAGGAGCATGCTGCGGAAAGCTTCGAGTCTTTCAATTCGGCAGCAGTGGTAATTTCGAAGGTTGTGTCATACGGTGAGAATCTTTCGCAGACGGCGTTGAAATGGACCGCAACGCGAGCTAGAGGCGGAAAGTAGCGTCGTCAGTTTAAATTCGATAGTGAGATACACGTCATGTTCTGGCCAGACAGTGGGTCGTCTCACACTGTAGCTAGCTATATGATGTAAATGCACATACCTTGAATAATCCTTGAGCAGTCCTCTGGCAGATACTTGATAATCACACTCCGCCTCCGGTACTTTAGAAAGCCATACAATGGGCTCGTCTCGTCATATTCGGCAATAGTATTGCGGACCTCAACTATTCCGCCATTTCCTCGACTAAGCACTTCGATCTCATCTCGGCTCTCGTATTTGAGAAGAAACCTGTCAAACAATAAGCATCATAATAGACAAAGATGTAATGTCTCGACTGTCCGAATCTAGCGACATTCTGCTCCGTTTGGAGACTACAGTGGCGGATTGGGGTTTAGATATACGTACCAGCCTCCAGGCTCAGCGGTTGCAGCTTCATACGCTTCTACCACTTTAGGGTCATCCAGGCCATTGAGCGACATGGTCGTTTACTCTGTTCCCTCAATATCGTACCCCCAAGCCCTTGAGATTCCTATCGATGCGGTCTGACAGACGCTCAGTACTGTTTGGTATATCGAAACGAGGGACAGGGTGTGGGCAGCGGCTAATCGAGGATCCCTTTGTCTGAAGAGTTGAAGAGGAGAAGAGGAGAAACTCTGGTGTCAAAGTTGTCGACGACAAAAATAGAGACCGGCGGTCCAACATGGGAGGAAGGACGTATGCAACGCAGTGCTTCAAGAAGTCGGAAGCAGCGAATAGAAAAGGGCAAAACGGACTAAAGGGGGGTTCTCCCTTGGTGCGGAGCGTCGTTTAGCCTGGGTTGGTGGATAAGAGCAAACAACCCCAACGGCAACGGGGATGTCGACCAAGGATCTGCCAGCTGGAATGGCGTTACAATGGCGGCACCGGAAAACCGTCGTGTGGATGGCGATGGATCGAGTTCGTCGACGAGGTCAGGGCCCGAGACACGCAGGGGAAAGACAGCGACTGCGAACAAAGACGGTGTTAGCAGACTCGACAGTGCGACACGTGGGCAGCGCTTCGTCTACGGTGCGGATCTCTCACCAGATGAATAAAGAAGAAAGGGAGAAAGAGGGATGGCAAAAGGGAAACAGGAAAAAGGAAAGAAATAGAGAGAGAGAGAGAGTATGCGCGAGCGTCACGCCCAGGTTGGCTCCTCACCAGGGGAGCAATGAGGAACTAGACAAGGAGAAACTAAGAGGCACCAGCTCCAAGGACGATCCAAGGGCACATAACTAACAGCGTGGGAGTTGAAAGGATCAGCGCAGGAGACCGACAGCCCCTGGGCAGATTAATTGACGGATCGATGGCACTTAAGGGGTCAACCGGTTCATATGTATGTAATCATTGATGGGATGGCTGTGGCCCAAAGGGGGGCAGGCAGTTGGACTGGGGACGGAACCGGGGGGGGAAGCAGAATGGAGATGGGAAATGGGAAACGGGACGGAGACGCATCGACTGACGTCCGTCCATCCCATTTTCCACATTGTCAAAGTTCACTCACAATCGCCTGCATCCAACGCCAGGCCTCCTCCAGGCACTTTTACAGAGGAGGCACTAGTCCCATCAAGCACGTAACTACTTACTCTAGAGTTACTCGGCGCAAGTCGTTTGCCTTTGACGCGCCGGTGGGCGATTCGGCGCCTCGTTGCAACGAAAGCCCGGGCCGTGCCAGGGGTAACAGCACGTTACCATTGAACGGAGGGCACCGAGTTACTGGGCTGCTGAACTGCTCCGCCGCATCGACCTTTGTGGATTGATTGGCCAACGGTCGACCAAGAAAGAGACATGGACGGACAGAGAGAGGTCTGTGGTTTGTGGTGGCGCCCGCGTTTCCAAGTCGGTGCTCATCAAACACCTCGGCCACCTCCAGTTGAGCAGTTCGTTGTACTCCGTAACCAGAAAGGCGTCAACTCAAACGACTTGTCCGTATCAAACAACCACATGTTGCGTCTTCACCAGCAGCCGACCATTCTGACGTTGGGGACCCTTGCACCTCGTTCGCCGCCGTCGCCGCCCTGCTGGGATTGATAAAATTCCCCGACATCGCGCAAATGTCAAAACGGAAACATGGTCCCTCGTTACCACCTGCCTCCTTGGTACATAATTCCTACGTACAACTACGTAGGCATCTTGGTGCCGTAGCTCTACGAAGCTTGACGCAGTGGAAATCGCTGCACTGCCAATCCCCAACGATGCCACGTACAGAGTAGAGTAATTCCTACTAGACCAGATATGACAACACTAACTAGTACCTAGGTAGTAGTTATCTGGCGCTTTGTCGCTATGCAACCGCCCGTGCATGTCATGTCCTCCACACGGACGCCACCATCTTCTTTTTTTTGGCGTTGCTACCTAAGGATCCAGGGAACTGGCTACCAATTGTTCTGTGCGTTGACTTTAAAAAAAAATATAAAAAAGGAGTAAAAAGGAGGAGGGGAGGATGAATGAGAATGAATGAATGAATGAATGAATGACAAAAAGAAAAGCGTCAAAGCGCCGGCATTATCCAAAGCAACCCCATTCGGCTCATTCAGTCTCTTATAATATTAGGCTGTTGATTGCCAACCTCTGTCAAAAAGAAAACCATTCATTGATTGCAAATAACTTCTGAGACCAACAAGTGTATGGCCAACACGAATGTCCGATGCCCGATTCATTCATACATGTCTACCTGGGTGGTTCTACATACAGTCCCTTCACTACAAATCGAGTCGAGTCGAGCCGAGTCGAGCCGAGCCGAAACGGCACACCGAGCCCAAATATCCATCTTAAGAAACAAAAATTCATAATGCAAATATAATTGAAAGCAGAAAATGGGGGTTGCTAATTTGAAGGCATATTTCAACTTGCCCGTCGTCTCTTGTCTGTCGTCATACCAATGTCATGCCTAATCAGACGTGTGCATGTCCGCAACTAGCACGCCAAGTGCCTTCATTTCTCGGGCCCCTCATCAGGTTTTGTTGCAGCCTCTGCCGCCTCCGGGGCGTCTTTGCCTTTTGTTGACACTTCGGGGCTGTCGTCCTCCGCAACAGCGCTCTCTGTCTCCTCCGCGACAGGCTCACTCAGCGTAGTCACAATGAATTCTCCTCCCTCTCTAGGTATCGTGTCATATCCCCGACCGCTATTGCTGGCAGACACTCCAACTGCAGGCACGGTACCTTCGGCGATTGCCTGCTTGGTGTCCGATACGATCTTCTCAGCTTCACTGACCCTGGCCGCCGCGATGCGGTCCGATCCGCCTTCACTCTCACTAGTACTCACGCCTTGGGCTACCGTAGAAGTCTTATCAAAGCGAACAATCATGCAGGACAAATTGTCGGTGCTGAATCTACTCAAAGCATGGTCTACCAGCTGTTTTGACGCAGCGATTGGATCTTGGACGTCCCGGACTAGATCGACAGCTTCCTGGTCGCTACAAACGTCCCACAACTATGAAGAAAGAAATCCAGTTAGCCAGTTAAACCTGCCTATTCCACTCAGGAACTTGACTTACCCCATCGCATGCAATGATGATGAATTCGTCCGTATCAGATTGTATAACAGTTTCTGTCGTGTATGGGTGGCTGGTGACAAGTTCCTTCATATATGCGTCACCTAGTGCACGGGTCACTGCCAGAACGCCGTTGACACGATTATTCAAAATCAGCCCGCCGGCATTGGCAATCCGTTTGCCTTCATTCTCGTCACTTCCCTTGTGGTCATATGACAGCCGCAACGCCTTGCCGCCACGACATAGGATAATGCGAGCATCGCCGACATTAGCCGTGTATAAAATGCGTTGCCTGGTGGTGGGCAGCTTCGGCTTCAGTTGAGTGTCGGTAGAGGAGGCAGAAGCCGTACGGCCACGCGGCGAACTAGATGGCTTGTCTTTATCAGGGTTGTTTGCCTCGTTCGTCTTGGGTGTCTGTTTCGTCGCCCCCGCAGCAGGTTTCTCATTGGAGACACGATCCTCCCATCGCAACACGGCAATGGCAGCCGTACAGCCGCTATTCTTCAGTGGGAGTTTTTCTAGCTGTGTGTCCACCGTGGTGAAGGTCTGATCTAGTAACTCCGGTACAGCCACATTTGGATTTTTTCGAATAACATCCTCGAGAATAAGATGAAGCTTCTTCCCGCACCAGTCAGCAGCAAAAGTACCAGCATGGCCATCAAAGATGGCAAAGTATCCGTTGTCGGATTCCAACATCTCGTTGCCAGTTCCTTCCGAGTCGTTCTTCTCGGACTTGGCTTTGGACGGGGCGTCGCTATTGGGCTGAGGAGTCGCCAAGAAGTTGTACAAGAATGCGTGGGTGTCTTCCATGGTCCGACGACATTTCTTGTTCCTATCTTCCCAAACGCCGACTCGGAATGTAGACTTCGGGCCGGGTAACGATTCGCCGGCGGAATTGTTATGCTGGCCCTGCGGGACTGCCAAGGCGGGATCTTGCTTACCCAACTTCTGCAAAGGCGTCTGGGCACTCAGATCGGAGTTTCCACGACCGACCTGGGAGAAGTTCAAGGTATTCTTAGCCGATGCCAGGAAACTGCTCGCTTTGCTCCCGACACCGCTGCTCCTACGTTTCTTATCCGTAGATCCCCCGGTGTCATTATAGCGGGGGCTGCCATTGCCACTTCGTTTCTCTCCGCTCGCAGGCGAGGTAATAGCCGTCTTGATGGGAGCCGGAGGGTTGGCTTTAGGACTTGAGCCGGGCGAAGGAGGCTTTGTTTCAGCTTTCGATTCGCTCTCTGTCTTTAGTCCTGGAGAATTGGAACCCCCGCCAAACATTCTATTCAGCAGGCTTCCCCCTTGAGAGGAGAGACTGCGGCGCTTGTTGCCTGCCAGCTTTGTGGAGGTGAGGCAAGACTCTGGGTGGGGAGTATTGTGTTGAGCAAGAACGTAACAAAGGCCCCGATGCCGTCAAAGACAGTCGCGGGGTTTGTTGAATATATAAAACAACGACAATGAGAAAAGAATATACGACCACTGAGCCCAAAATAATCCTCGTCAGGGGGGGAGGTGGGAGGAAAATAGGACTCGAATCTGGTAAGTTGATGTAGTAGCTCTAGATAATTGTTTGATCACGGGCGGAAATAGCAGCGACAGTACGGAGTTCGGGTGTAAAATGACGGTTCAAAATTCGAAGAGGCTAGGACAGCTATCGATAGAAGTTAGAAATATTGTAGAGGCAGTGTGAGGAGGTGGCATGAGTTATATGGAAAATGTGACAATGGATGGGGGTATGCTGTGGCGTCCAAATGCCTAAAAATGGCGTCCAAGGGAGCGCCCGGCGGTATAGGCGAAAGACAGCTGTCGAACAATCAATGGCCGCGGCTAAAATGACTGTTGCGCAGACTTGTCTGAATGTTTGCTCCGGTTGAAACGCCACCCATGATATGCCACCACATGGTCACGAGTGACGGCGTCGGCGTCGGACAAAACGATGGCAGAGCTAAGAAGACATGGGCACCAAAAGAAAAAGGGACGCCGTAGTTACAACGACGACGACATACCAGAGTGCCTAGCAAGAAGAGCGGCGTGAACAGGGCCGTCCGGGGGTGACGGTGGACAGGAAAGTGCGGCAGTGTCAACCAGTGCTTGGGTAGCAAAGGTTCGACTGGTACGACGCAATGCGAGAGGCAACAGCCCGGTGGCGTGTCTACTATCGGGATGAGGCCGTACGATGGCCGTCTCGCTGGTGAAGGCGGTGTTGACAAACGGAGGAACAGTGGTGAGGGTGTGTAGGTGTCGCAGAGACGTGTGTTCCGACGACGTCTGGGTGACGGTGACCAAGGTCGGACTGTCGACTGGGTTGGTCGATTGGGCTGGGCGACGACGGGTGTTAGCGCTGGACGAAATGCAGGAGAAATGGACAGCGCTTGACCGTGCTCAAACGAGCAAATGAGGGGTCTTTCTCAGTTCTAAGGTTGGTGGCGGACTGGCATCCGGAGGCTCTGGCGGGGTTATGGACAGCCTGGCTGCGCAGCTGGCTGGGGCAGCTGGCTGGGGGGGGGGAATTACTACTTAACAATGTACGGAGTACGGAAGTGCCTGCCAGGTACCTAAAGTAAGGGCAGGGCAGGATCTGCTGGGGTAGATGCTAGATGCCCAACATGCAACATGTCAATCGCCTATTCCCTCGGTCCTTACTTTGCAAAGTATGCAAGTACCTCCGTACGCACTAATACGTATTGTCATTCTATTATTAACGAGCATTGGGGAGCTCCGGATGTCTCTCTCCGCCGGTTCCTGTTGGGCGTTGGCGCTCTGGACCCAGACGACGTCACCAGCCAGAGTGGCTGAGCAGCTCCGCGTCAAGCTAAGTCGAGTCGGGAGTGACGGGTGATTGATTGGGGCCATTCCGCAGTCTGAACGCGTTACCGAGTACCGTTCGGCGCGCCCGTTGATAACAGCGTGTTCCGACAAAGGCCCGGACATCCGGACGCAACAAGGTTGCTTGACTGCTCCGTGTTCCTGACAATTTGTTGAACACTTCAGTCTGGGGTCTGCTTGGAATCGGCATGGCACGCCCTTCCAGTGCTTCTCCCAACCATCACTCTACCAAATGTACCGACCGACCTACAGGCATCTGCAGAGCATCAATACATTCCATTCCCCGATATTCCATGTCCATAGTAAATAAAGTCTACAATAGTCAGTCCGTCTTCAGAGTTTGCTCCGTCTGTCCTTTATCCTGCACATGTCCTCCTCCCATTCAATGTTTCCCCTGCCCCCCCACAGCCCCTATTTTCGCACGAGGTCATGCGGCATCTAATACACGGCAGCAGCTCGCGGGTTCTTCGGAATATTCGCGGTCAATCAAACTCATGGTCAATCAGAGCATTAGCGAGGCGCATTCATATCCTTCTGCGCTCATGTCATTGCCATGACGCTCTTTGTTCTGGACCTTGTTTGCTGGTCTGACAGTTGATAATCCCAAAATTGCCAACAGCATAATTGCCAACAGCATGAAACCAAGATATATTCCAGCCCGCGAGCTACTATGCGAGAAACAACGCTTAAACCTGCCGGGGGCAAACTGGGCCGGCATACCACAAAAAAGCATCGTCTTCGTCTTTCGTCTCTCTAAAACTCAAAACGCCTCAGTGGAGAAAAGGAAAGAGAAAAGAAAAAAATCGCCCAGCCTCTGCGATAGTCGTCGTCCGTAAAAAAAAGTACGTAGATGTACGGAGTAGTATAGTAAAGTGATGTCTCGCACACCGAAAGTGATCATCGCGCCACTTTACTTCTTCAGACTATCAAGTCGGGCCTGAAGGTCATCATCAACTGGGTCACCACCACTCCCTCCGCCAACAGCCTGTGCAATTTTGCCTTCCGCAATAGCAGGGTTGCCTATGGCCGTTGGTGTCTCCCCAAGCTGCCAGATACGTCAGCCTACTCGCTTACTTTGGCAAATCCACGGCAAAATGAAGGGTCAAAAAACAGTGGCCTGTTGGGGGATAACTTACGGATTGGTTGAAATCAATGCCGATTTCTTCCAAGACTTGTTCGACCACTTCATCGCCCTCTTCTTCGACACCAACATCCATGGCATCGTCGACGGCATCATCCATCATCTCCTGCCTCTGCTCCATGATGTCGTTTTCTCGTTCAAACTCCATGGCGATTCGCTGAAGCTGGGGTAAGTTCATTGACTTGTTCATACTCCCCAGGGCCATCGTGGCCCCTTTCATAGCTTGCATCATTTGTTCGTTCGTTCGGTACGTCTGTTTTGAAAGTGTCTCGTGTCAGCCGTCGCCTTGTTCTTCACCAAAGTGAACTCTCCCAGCTATTCCCCATGTGTATGTATGGATTGCTCGTCGTACCTGGAGCCGTAATGAGATCTTTTGTAGTTGGCTGCGCATTGAAAAGAACTTTTCGATATACCGCCTCGTGCGGACCAAGTCCTTGGCCTGGATCTTGCAAGCGCCCATCTGCCCGTTCTTGGCGCTGGTCTTGATCTGCTGTATCAGCGTCTTCTCCTGCTTCTCCAGCTTGACGCGCGTTTGGTCGAGTTCTCGGATCGCCTTGTCGAGCATTCGCTGGTTCTTGCGTAGACGCTCAGCCGGCGTCATGCGCTTCCCAAAGGCCCATTCAAGGATCTGTAGGTTCTTGGTTAGCCACGCACTCTCCTGCCTTGACGGGGACCGTTAGCTGGTAAGTAGTTGGTGTTGACGGACATTCATGGTTTCCGCTGAGGACGACCTTGCTCCCGCAGCGACAGGTCAATTTTCAGAGACTTTGAATTTGTCGCAAAATATTCTTGCAGCGAGCCGTGGCACCATATACCCCAGGCCGACATGAAGGTTGCCTAGTCGAGATCAAGGAAGTGCACATGTGGTTTGTCGCCGCCGCTCCTCCCACCTAGGTGTACGTACATACAAGGTGCAGGCTGCGGCAAAGCCAGGGTTGATGCTGGTTGGCTTGGCAGCCGCGGTTCAACTGGCTGTTAGCCTTTTTCGGGCGCCACGGCGGGACGTCATGACATCTAGAGTGTCATCGCGCGCTAAATTGCAGCCTTGGATTTGACCACATCCAACATCAATCAAAAATGAACATTGAACGCAAATACCCAGGTACCTAGTAGTTCTCGAAATGGGAAAGTTGAGCCGCATAAGACTCAACAATAGTGTTTACCAACGTCACACGTTCAAATTTCGGTCTAAACACATTCTGTGCCATCTAGACGTCTAAGTTTGCCGTTGATTGCCATCACGCTTTCCACATTATATCCCGCAATCGCTGTTTTTCTTGCTCTCCAGCAAATATGCCCTCGATTCCCTGCCGAGCCAAAGCGCATATCTGAGAACGGTCGAGATGGAAATGTTGGGCCACTAGTCGGTATTCGTTCGAAAGGAGGCTCCCAAACACACCTACATCGTCCGTCTAGTAGGGCCTTTGTCAGTTTTCGTCTGGATCCATCTACCCGGCTCCTCTCCATTCGGAGAAGACGCAGAGACATGGACGGGCCATCTAGACTTACCGCTAGCGAAATCTTGGGGCCCTTGACGCCCTTCCAATGCCCAAAGTGGTGGCCTTCAAACCCCCCATGGACCATTTCCGCCTGCACATTGCAGCTCAGACAGAGCTCCAGGCACAGTTCCCTTTCTACAATTACCTTCCTAGCTTCCTCGTCCTCCCATATTACATGTCCCAATCGGCCGGGATTCCAAGAAAGCAGCGTGCGGAGCTCATCGTGAGATCCACTGGCCTCTGCTTCTGCAAAATGAACAGTAATCCCCAACCCGGCTCTAGAGGCCTGCTCAAAGACGGGAGTGAACACGGCAACTTCTCCCCCGGGACGAGCAGTGGGATCTCCGCACAAGTCGATGCCGACAACGCCGCACTTATTTGTGTCTTGTAGACGAATTGCGAGGTCGAGGATAGATTCTGCCGTACGAATGGAATGGCGGCGATCGATAGACAATATCAGACGAGTATGCAGTTGGGGGTGAAGCGATTCAAACTCTTCAATAGCGCCGAGGAGGACTGTGATGTACGCCTCTGCAGACATGGTGGTTGTGGATCGCGGAGTGGTGCGCAGCTCTAGATACACAACGCCGTCGGCCAGGAAGTCTTGTAGCACACTATTTATCGCGTAGCGGATCGATTCTTCGTCCGTGAGAAGATTGTAGATGTAGCTGCTGAAGAGTGGGAAGAAACTGCAGGCTCTCCATTAGTTTCCCGAGGCAAACTTGACGAGCCAGAGGGCAATACGCCACTTCATGCGAGTATAGTATCTTGCTGCAATATTCTGCCATACCATTACACGTCCACGTACAAACCTGGCAAACACCATGTGCAATCTAAGCATGCTACGATGCCTTGGACTTTGCGGTGGAAAGTTGGCAACAGTCACTCACGTCTGAAGGTTATAGTCGTGTTTGCCCTCGGGCATGACTACCCGCGGGTCTTCTAGATCAGTTTGGCCTGACGCTTTCTTCCTTTTCCAAATCTCGTGTAATGTTGGACGGGAAACACTTCCAGTCAGGTGGGCATGTAGCTACAGCCAAGTCCATAGGTTAGCATCGCCGGGCCTGTTACGCAAAGTTGGCGCTCGGGTCGTGATTCATCCTCCTCCTGTCCATACAAGCTTACCTCAATCTTTGGTAACAGCACGTAGTCCATTGCGAGCCAAATTTGCACTTCAATTCTCAGTGGTCAGGCGAGGTAATGGAGTTCTCCGAAGCACGCCTTTCCAAGTTGACGACACCCCGCCCGAGTCGATGCTACCCTACATTTGGTTGGGCGATACTAGTCAAGCTTCAATATTCGTTCGACCTGATGAGTGGCTTTACCCGTCTTGTGAGTTGATATCTACAACGGCCAAAGAACACCAATCTGTTGAGTTTCATCGGGTGCGGGCTTCGGCTTTTTCAACAACGAAAATACAGCGATAGTGCCAGCCATGAAGAGCCTCTGCTCAAGGCACATCTGACACAGATGGAGATTTTCACCGCGAGTGTTGGTGTTCATTATCCACATTGTACAAGTCAGAGAATCAAAGTCTAAGGTACAGTGACAAAATACATGCGAACCTGCCCGTCATAGGAGATGAGATTGAAAACAAGATGAAAAAAATCCACTCCCATATCCCCCCCTATTTTCATTTCCTACCCCAATTCGTATTTATATTACCAAGCCCGGTTTCCCGGTCGGTCGTGTTTCATCAAGCGGTGACGCGAAACTCTCAGCTCTTGTCCCGACACAGTATTGTACAGAAAAGGGCGCTATCAACGTGTCCTCTTAAATTTGGCTCGTGGTAGAGATTGTCGTCGGGGCGCACAATGTCTCAAGAAATTTCCGGCATAATCCAATTATAGTGAAGAGATTACAGCGATGGCTTAGCCTGGCCATCACCCAGGGCGGCTCCAACTTTATCAGCAGTGTTCTGCTCGGAGCCGGCGGTCAGCAGCTCGCCACCGGTCTGTCGCATGTTGTACTCCTGCTCCATGGCAGTAAGTTGCTGGTCCTCAGCAAAGGACAGAGCAAAAGGTACGCCAAAGAATAGAGCAGAGGTGGTAATGACCCAGGCACCCTTGCCACTGAATGACAATACGCTCCAGGCCTTGCTGGAAATGGAGTTGACACGGCTGGAGATCCAACCTCTCGTTGTCGGGGGGACAATATCTCGAAGTGCGTACAGGCGTTCTGCTAGGGTCTCATTGGAGGGGTCGTAGTCAGAGTCGTTGGAGATTTCAGAGTCTACCAAGGGTTCGTCAGTCAAAATGCTTCTGCTTCAATCTCCTGAAATAGTTGGCGGTGATGGGAACGAACCAGTATCAGTGAAGTCATCGTCATCGACATCAGGGCCAGCCTGGGAGGACTGGAAATGCTCGTCCTCAACTTCGGTGAGAGTGACCATTTTGGCGGATAGGGAGGATGGCTACAGTTAAAACTGTGTCGTCGTTAAGAGGTTGGGCAACCTGCGAGATTCCCCGTCCAATGAGAAAGGCGATGAAGGCGCAAGCAGCTCGTGAAAAGGTATACGGTGGGAATTAAATGATACAGGGTCGCTTATACGGGACCGCACTAGCAACTTGGGTGTAATGCGGATTGCCTGCTGATGTTCGCGATATGGGCGTGTGGCCGTTGATTTGGAGAACTGCGTCACGGAGGCTCCGTACTCTCTCAAAATTTTTGGCTCGGAGCTGGTGCTAGCCCAGCTGACCAGGGTGTTGCTCTCATCTGGAGGTAAGGAAATGAGACGTCACGTGCCGGAGTTCCACACAACTAGGTTGGGGGCTTGGTAACTCTCGGGAGAGTGAGAATACGACTTACTACCGAAAATAACTAACCCGGACGTAACAAAAACAGGACTTTGTGAGCCCTGTGAACCATAACGCCTTTCATACTTGTGTGTTTCATCAAAGCCCGAAAGCTGCGAATGGAGGAAGCGCGGCTTTAGTCCTGGGTATTCTGCGAAGCATACATAGGTTACACGGACCAATCTTATAACCTGATTGGCTACTCCGTACAAACCACAGTATTGGGCAAAATCACTCTGTACTTGCCTTGCAATTCTTTGGAAAGTGAATGTAGGACGAAACAAGCACATCTTCAACTAAATAAACCTCGACCTTGCCAGTGTATTTCAGAAGGGAATTTTTGCCACGTAAAAAAATTGCCGTGCATGTATAATGCACTCGTATGAAAGAGATGCTGTAAGCTCATTACAGCTGGTATAGGGTATTTGACATGTCGATTGAGTGTGTTGGTGTGTTCAGACTCGGGGCATTGTAAAAGATGCATATTGAGGATATATCCCGGTGTCAAATTGTTTCATGTCCAAGACTACTGTACTATAAACATGTGCATGAACGCGATTGAAAGCCGAGAAGCGAAATTGAAAGAAAGGAATTGTGATATAAATTACGGGTTGCGCATAGTCATGTGGTTTGCAATGCCTCGTTGCTGGGTCCTAAAGCAGGGGGCTCGTTCGCTCCAGTCCAGTCTGGATCTAGGGTGTACGAATAGTGTAAAATAACGGCCAATTCTAACCATGGAAAGAACCAAATTATGGACAAAAGGCAGTACTTGCCCTGGACCAGCAAGCGCGAGTCGAGTACATACATACATTGCAACTGTTATTCAACTACCGTTGCCTTGGACCCTAAGATTCGGCATCGTCGGGCACGAATGAGAGATTGGATAATTTCGCATGCCCCAGCCCCGTTTTGCCATCGCTGCCGACACCAACACAGCAGGGCACGTGGCCACTCCGCGGGGGCGAGGCAGACGAGCAGAAGAATGTTGGCCGAGGGATCTGAATTCCTCCCTTGAATGTTATTGATAATACTCCGTACATGGTCTTGTCTGGGGACAGCCGGATCACACCCCCTGTGAGCTGTCACCTGCCGGCCATGAAGGCATCGTGACCACCCAACACCAACTGGCGAGCCAAAATTACGCAGGAGCATCGCGCTGTGGCGCATTTTGGCTGCTGCAAAAGGTTCAGCGTCGGGCGTCAACGGGCGCAATGGAGCAAATCCCGAGCGCTTTGGCTCGAGGCAAACGGCGTGCCGGCATGGCCGACGAGAATTGGGGCCGGGCATCCCATAATCCTCCACCTGTACTCCGTACCTGTGTATGTATAATGTTTCCCTGCGCTAGGCTGCTTCTACTTGAGAAATGAGAGGGCATATGTGACCGTGGCATATTGCTTACGCGAGAAAATCCATCGCGCGAGGTCGCGTGCCCCTCTGACGGGACACAATGACCAAAGAAAGCCATGATGATGCTGGTGATGCTGAGCGGATTGAGCCATCTGATGCGCCATCCCAGCTGCATATGGTAACTTCGCAATTGGCAGATGCAGAATGCTGATGGCGTCGCCATGATAATCAGCCGGAACGGAGTGCATGATGCCACATGGACTTTCAGAATTCCATGTATCATGTACGAAGCATGTATGCAACTCGGTACTCGGTACTCGATCCCTCATACAAGAACGTATCTGGGCCACGTCCTCTGTATGTTTTCAAGTTGCATGTCATCGTCATTTCTGCTGCATGGCCGATATTTCCGTCTTCGCAGCAATCGCCAGCCTCATTCCCCCCGGGTGCAACCGACACAAGGAGTACCATTCAGGAACCTGCCATTCAATCGACGTTCCAATACAGAGTCACATATGCATACATACGTGTAATAGTAGTGGAAATGCAACCTCCGAATGCAAGTGAGTGTCATTGCCGGAGTCACACAGCATTTCGAATGCACGCAACACTCGGATCGAGGCTGTAACGAGCGAGGGCCTCGCCCACTCGCAGCAGCAGCAGCAACAACAACAATAATAGTAATCATAACAGCGCCCCCTCACTCTGTGCTCGCTTGGGCGGTGCAAAAATAGCAGCCGGAGGGATCCCGCTTGAGAAAATCCGGGGATCGGCTCCAAAGAGTCATGGGGGCGGATGGCTAGACTCAGAAGCCCAGTTCGGAAGGGCGGAAACATTCAAGATGGAGAATTCAATGTTGTCTTTTAATGCAAGGGAAGTGGCAGGGGGAGTGGCAGCCTGGCGCAACATTGGGACATCAATTCGATGCATGCACATGTGCACGCAATTGACATTAAGCGCTGTACATAATAGCACGGAGTATCCAGGTACCTCCATGCAGGCGGGTGCAGAGAACCACTGAGCCTCGAGTGCAGTATACATGCACATGTGTACTCCGTACCACTCGGGGAAACTGGCAGTTGTCACCGCAACTCCAAATTACTTGGGTGGCAAAAAAAAAACAACAACAAAAAAAAGACAGATACATAACAATACAAAACTTGCTCCATCCAGTAGCACAAGACGAAAATACCAAAAAAAAAATAAATCAAATGCTGCACGCACGGCATACTCCGTAGCCGCTTATCCGCTTGCCGTTCATGCCCATGTTGGCCGGTTGGCCAGTGGGTTACGTGCGAAGCCTGGTGATGATGTGCTTGGGGACTTCATCGAATCGACTCCGCCGCTTGTACGTAAGACGTGTCTCCAGAAGGGCCAGAAGGGCCAGTAGTGGCATTTGATCAGCCATCGTGACCAATGCACAGGGATACTCGACCCCAGCGGTTGGGGTACGGCAAAGCCTGCGTTTTTGTTTTGGAAAAGGCTAATAAGACACGGACCCGTGTTCAAGCTTTTCATTTTTGTCTTTTTTTACCAAAGGGGAGAAGAAGGGTAAAGGAAAATGCGCCATCTGTTGCATGGATTGGCTTTTTCTCTCTCTCCCTGTTGTCCTCGTGATCAATGCTCGTGCCAGAAAAGGCGAAAAGCCAGTGCCCCCTTTTTTGCTTTGGGACCTTTTTTTACTCTGTATACTCCGTCCCTGCTCGCTCGCAATAGCACAAATAAGCGTGACGCGGGTGGGGGCTCGAACATCATGTTGACCCTTTTTGGGTTCGTTGGCGCAGTACAGTGCATTGCGGTATGGCTACTCCATGTTCCGTCAATGCCTTGCTGGCATCGTTGCGTTGCTGTCGGGAACCGGATAGACGGCCCAGTGCTCATTTTGCTTGGCTGTTCGTTGTTACAGGTGACGCCTCGTTCCGTCCAGTACGACCAGACTTTGCATTGTGTACATATATACATTGTGTACTGGTTGGTTGTAGCAAGCACAGCTCCCGAGTGAAGTCCACGACT